GAGTCAGTATAGAGGATATGGCCAGCGCTCAAAAGGTGTGCTTGCCAGAGTCGGGTTGGCCTTTCGCATGGTGATCAGGGAGCGATAGAATGTCCAGACCGACTCAGGACTGTGTCTCTGGCTGGCGTGGCACCATTCTCCGCCGTGATCAAAGGCTGGAAGCCACGGTTTGGCTGCCGGGTCTGTGAATCCCCCATGGGGATCCTCAGTCCACTGATAAAAATGTCTGTCAGTGATATGGCGATCAAAGTGAAGTGGATGCTAATGTCTCACCGGAATGGGTATCCGAGTGTTATCGCGACCTTTCTGTATGATGGCCTTTCTGGCCAACTCGAGCTTTTGTGGTGCTTCGGTTCCTGCGTCTTCACAAGCTCTTCGTTACGTGAGTAATTGGTCAATGTGCCTGGCCAGAGTAAATGACACGTACGCTTTCCAATATTGGATTGTCTCAATGTCTTGATTCATTTCTTCCGAAAAGAGTCCCGGGTTGATCATCCCTAGCTCCTGCCCCTGGAAGATGAGATTTGTGCCCTGGAGCGTGAACTGCCATAAAGCAAGCAACTTGGCGCACAGAGCCCGAAACCGCGGACTGTTGGTAGTGAATCTAGAGATGCCTCTTGGCTGATCGTGATTCTCCATCCAGACTGTGTTCCATCCCCCATTGTTGACCAAAGTTTCTTGCCACTCGTTGATGATTCGTTTCAATTCGGGGAGCTCCCATTCCCGCAGCATCCACTTGTCGCCATCGTGACAGTCGAGCTCTACATGCTGAAATTGAATGATCAGGTTTAGTTCGGGACGAGAATTGAATCGTGATGTATATCGAACAGCTTCAGGAGCGGAGACGCCGCAGGACATCTCCGCTAGGGTCATGCAGTCATAACGGGAGAACACTTCCTCGTGCATTTCCTGCAAGTACTCATGAATATGAGGACTTTGGAAGCATGTCAACCTTGCAGCCCCGACAGGAATGGAATTTGCGGTGGGAGTAATCATACCCGTTTGCAAACAAGAAATTCGCCGGCTGCCATATTGAACCTTCCTTGGAGATGGGAGCATCTGGAAAGGATGATGTCTTTGACACCAAGTTCATCGTGTCGAGCTTCGCCAGTGTGACGAGTGGTCAGTCATGAGGACTACAGCAAGGCAAACACAATTGCTCACCCGGAATCCATCCACTCCCTTATCTAACCAGAACCTCAACACATTGTACAGTTCTTTTCGTACTTCCTCGCAATCCCAATTCAGGTCAGGTTGATTCTTGCCAAATATGTGCAGGTCTTGAGCTTCGTCAGCCCCATATTCAGACATTGGAATGATTAGAATGACGAAGTACGCACAGAACTCGCCTGCCAGCTCGTCCCACTCCCAAACCGAACCTGCCCCAGACAGAGTGAGCTTTAAAGACGAGGAATGAACATGAAAGCTCCGCGACATACCAGTAAATGTACTCTCCCAGTTATTTGGAGGTATACGATTGCCAAACTCATCTAGCTTCCCTTCGCTCCAAAAATACCAGTCTCGCTTACCTAGGCTAGGATCTTTTCGAGCGCGTCGAGAGGTTTGGAACCATTCGTGCTTGGATGGATACTAGTCAGTACGCCATTATTTTCCTATCATCCATCGTGGACTCACCTCAGTTGCAGTGTGATTGAGAGCGATGTCCAAGATCAACCTGAGTCCTCTTCGATGTGTTTCCTCTATCAGGAGTTCCATGTCCTGCATGGTTCCAAAAACTGGATTAACCTTTCGATAGTCACTAATGTCATACCTGCAATCTTCTCGTCAGTCCCTCGATACAACGCTTAATGTCCAGCTCGTTTTCATACCCCATGTCCCGCATTGGCGATTCATAAATAGGTGAAATCCAGACCACGTCTATACCGAGCGCGACGAAATAGTCGAGATGATTAACTATCCCGCGAAGGTCCCCTTTGCCATCTCCATCGGTGTCTTGAAAGCTCTGAATCAATACTTGATAAATGGTTGCTTTCTGCCACCAACGCAGCTTGTCGAGACTGTCTGACTCTTGACATTCTTTTGATGCATCAGGGCTCTGCGCCCTGTCTGTGTTGATCGGATGAAAATCTGAGCTAGACATAAAGGAGACGTCTTCTCTCGCGCTTGCGCTTCCATGCTACAAAACGGAGCGACGCACGAACGTTACAAAATTCAAAATTATCGCATATCTGGTGAGAGGTGGTATCTGTTCCGCGGCCTTGTTTTCCAGTCAATTTCTAACGGTCTTGTTGAGGTCATAGGATGGTCATTTCGTCCGACGGATATCTATTCCATGGGATGTCCTTCCTACGCTTCGAAAATATATCATCAATGATGATGGCACCATCAAATATATCATCTTGGGGGCAAAATATTGCCCCAGCTGTATAAATGACTACTTATTCTTCCATGCCAATCGCTCCGGCCAAGGATGTTTCATCTGAGACGATTTCTTCTTCAGAGAGCCTTCCGCTGTGGGTTGCGAAGCTTGACTCCCACATCTGCCAGACCATCTAAGTCAGATCATCAATACTACCAGCCTCCAATAAGTTCTCTCATCAGAGACAAACCATTTTCGACAACCGCAAAGATGCCATGTCCAACGACTCGGAACAAGTGCGTGACGGCGTCTGGCACGTTCAAGCCGCAAATTCTCGATATGGATCGAGAATGGTGGCGAGAGATCATCATCTATGAGGTCTACGTGCAGTCGTTCCAGGATAGTAACAATGATGGCATTGGTGATCTTCGCGGCATCATCCAGCGGCTCGACTATCTGAAAGATCTTGGGGCGGATATGCTGTGGCTGACACCAATTTATGAATCACCCCTTGAAGATCAAGGCTACGACATTGCAAATTACAAGGGTATCAATCCCATGTATGGGTCTATGAAAGACTGGGAAGACCTTGCTGCAGAAATTCATAGGAGAGGAATGAAGATAATGATGGACATGGTGTTCAACCACACCAGCTCTCAGGTGAGCGGATCTAGTGCGAAACATCATTACTTCTGCTAATGGTTGGCCAGCATGCATGGTTCTTGGAGTCGAAGAAAAGCCGAGACAACCCGAAGAGAGAGTGGTACTTCTGGCGAAGGGGAAAGATAGGCAAAAACGGAGAGCGCTTACCTCCTAACAATTGGGAAAGTCTGTTTGGTGGTTAGCAAATCTCTCTATTCAGCCAGCCAAGCCATGCACTATCATACTAATTGCATCATATAGGTCCGGCATGGAAGTATGATGAGCATACAGACGAATGGTGTAAGTCTTCCGGATATAGGGTTTACCCCAATGATAGAAGGCTCACCAATAACAGACATGCATCTGTTCTCGCCATCTCAGCCAGACCTGAACTGGGACAACCCTGAGGTACGGAATGCAATCTTCGACGTGATTGATTTCTGGGGACAAAAAGGAACAGACGGCTTCCGGGTATGTCAGCCATGACCCCCGAATAGGGATGTTCCTGACGAGACCTATTTGTCCTAGTTTGATGTTATAAACCTTGTCTCCAAGACACCCGGTCTTCCGGATGCACCCATTGTGAACCCTGATAAGTACGAACAACCTGCCGTGCCATTATTCACGAACGGGTAAGCCTACCAGGGAAAGTAACTCGGAAGCACTGAGCTCTGACAAGATCCAGTCCCAATATCCACAAATACATGCATGAGATGAATCGCAACGTGCTGAGCAAATACACCAATTGCACAGTTGGTGAAATGCCGTGTGGTGTGGACGAATACGAGTCCAGTGAGTATGTGGCCAAGGAGCGCCAGGAGCTCTCCATGGTTTTTCAGTTTCACCATATGGATCTGGATGGTGAAAATGGAGACAAATGGAAGCCTCGCAAGTGGGAGCTCTGGGAATTCGAGAAGGTGTTCAGGATTTGGCAGCAGCATATGCTGGGCAACAACGGTAGGTGACCGCTCAATTCATCCTTGGGAAGCAAGAGCTGAGAGACCCAGGTTGGAATTCCCTGTACCTTGAGAATCATGACCAAGCCAGGTGTGTGTCACGATTTGGCAACCCCGATCCTCGGTACAGAGCCGTGTCAGCGAAGATGTTGGCCACGATCCAGCTCTCTCTGAGAGGAACCCCTTTCATCTACCAGGGCCAGGAATTGGGTACCCCACATCCGCAGAACTGGAAGATTGAAGATTATAACGACGTTGAGACCCATGCATACTACAACGCGTAGGCTTATTCGCAGCGAGTCTTCCCTTGATCTATCATTTACTGACCCATTTTACAGTCAGTACAAAGCTCGCAAGGAAAAAGATCCCTCCAAGGAGCCTGACATGTCCGATGTGATGCATGTCATTCGCCTCAAAGGACGGGACAATGCGCGTAGCCCTATTATGTGGAATAATGCGCCCAATGCAGGCTTCACCTCAATAGATGCCAAGCCATGGCTCCGAATGAACGATGAATATGCCGATATCAACGTCCAGGCTCAGGATCGTGATCCCGACTCGGTCTTGAACTACTACAAGAAGCTGTTGCATATCCGCAAACAACATCCGCTGATGGTATGGTTAATCATAATGATCAAAAGATGAGGTAGTCAAGCATACTGACCGGCGGTTCCCAGTGGTACGGAGTCTATATTCCTATCAATGCGAGTGACCCCAAGGTCTTCTCTTTCCTGCGGACGCAAGGGCCGTGGCGCACATTGATCTTCTGCAACTGGTCGGCGGAAGAGTCCGATTTTGAGATTCCCGAAGAGATCGACGTTGACTTGGCTATTATGCTCATCGCCAATTACCATGTGGATGAATACCAGCTGCAGCAGAAGGTCCGACTCAGGCCATATGAAGCCCGCATCTACTCCCTTCGTAACTAGACAGGTAAGGCATTTTTGAGACAGAATAAGTGCAAGAAGTTCATTGTGCATTGCCGACATTGCAAGAGACTGCTTATCGCTGGCTACAAAAACTTCTCTCCTTTCAGGCGCCATGCAGCTATCTATAGAATTGAGTTATATTCATTGACATAATCTAAATAGAACGAAAACTTTCATCATTCAACTCGATTGTAGGCTCCGTAATCCTGATCTGTAGTCCGTATATTCCTAAAGCTCACTGCCCATTCTCAAACGGCAGCCCGGACTCCTTCCGAATAGCTCCATAGACAGCCGCGATATCCCCTTTCTCCCCCTTCTCGGCCTTGACCTCCTGCAGATACGAATCCGTGACCTCAACACTACGCAGCCGCATACCAGCCGCACCAGCCAAGCTAGCTGCATGCCGCAGGTCCTTCCGCGCCAAGTCCACTGCGAAGAGCGGCTCCTCACGCTTGTAGTAGTCGCCCGTACACATCCGGTCCGCGTATTTCGCGAACATGCCCCCAACCAGCGCATGCATCCACTGCTGGTAGACATCGGCCCCGAGCCCGGACTTCTCCGCCGCCACGAGCCCCTCGGCAATCGACTCGACCGTGTTGAGGATGAGCGTGTTGCCCAGGACCTTGAGGGTGCTGGCGCGGCCGACGTCGTGGCCGCTCATGTCGATTGTGGCGCGGGCGGTGACACCTTCGAAGAACGGCCTGATGCGGTTGATGGCGGCTGCATCGCCGGCGGGCACGACGACCAGCTGGCCTGCGTCTGCGAAGGCTGGCGCGCCGAAGACGGGGCAGGCGATGAAGGAGGCGCCGCGGGGTGTAGGGCGGCGTGGATTCGGCGGGAGGTGTCCGGGTGGACGGTTGAGCAGTCGACGACGACCTTGGAGGTGAGATCGAGGGAGGAGTCAGACAGGATGGTGGTGATGATCTGGTCGAGGGCGGGATCGTCACCGACGCAGATGAAGATGATGGAGGCGTCCTTGACGGCTTCGGGGATGCTGGAGGCGACGGTGACGGGGGCTTTGGTTGAGCCGAGGGATTCGGCGAATGCGGAGGCTTTGGCCACGGTGCGGTTGTAGAGGGTCAGAGAGGACTGGGGGCCTTTTTGAGCGATGTTCTTGCTCATTCCCTGGGCTTGTGTTAGCTTGTTTATCTTGGGGGGAGGAGGGGGTGAATATGATCTGAAAGTATACCTACCCGTCCGATGTTCCCGAGGCCAATAAAGGCTATACGTTCACCAGCCATCTTCGCAGGTAGACTAGGAAGATATGATATACAGCAGGATTGAAGTATAAAAGAAACTGTTTAAAGATGGCAGTTCTAGATGCCTTCTCTTATTGTATGAAAACAACTGCGGAGCGGAGTAGACGGTGCGGGGAGAACACAGTGCAGGTTAGCCGGTACCGGCGAGAAGATGACTTCAATTCACACTCTACGTGAAGAAAAAGTGAGGGGAGAATCGTTCCATCTAACTAACTACCTAGGAGCGTAAGGCACATTTCTCTGTGCGTCCTCTTTGACTCAAACACTGTCCTCCTCCGATTTCTCCCTAAGCCGTTAACGGCATCCGTCCTGCCCGCGCGGTCCGCACGTTCCCACCTGTTCTGAATCTCAACCGACCACCAGACTTCACTCTCAACTCAGCAACAGACACCTCCCCAGATTGCACACACTGACTTCTAACCGACCCCTACTTCGCCGCAACGTCGTAGGGGTTGGTTAGAAGTCAGGGAAGGATGCACAGCTGGACAGCTTCCTCTAGTACAAGGCGTTAAGAGTTCCCAACGCGATCTCCTGGGAAGTAAGCTCCTCTGCGGTTCTCTCCTCATTTCCGGCTGTGACCTGGTGGACGTTCACCTCTTCTGCCTGGTCTTTCTGTTGATCCTTCCTGTCTTCGCCTTTCTTCTGAGCCTTGACAAGCTCGACGATTTTCTCGCACGCGACGACACGTCCTTCCTGGGGCCCCAACTGAGCGGCAAGTGCTTTCGCGTTGGCAAAGATTCTAGGACTGTCATTGCTGGCCAAGACTCGAATCAGAGCGAGTCCCAAGTGCTTTCCATTGATAGCTGGGGCGGTCTTTCTGTTGGCCCAGACACCAATTTTCAGCCACTCAACGCGGGCAGCGAAGTCGTAAGTGTCGAACCAAGTGGGAAGGATGACCTGCGGTACGCCAGCTCTGCGAAGTCATCGTTAGTCGCAGCTGCAAGGACGGAAGTGTTGGCTCGCAGACTCACCTGATTGCCTCATGGAATGAATTGGAACCACCATGATGAATGATGCATTCAATGTGGCCGCTCATCAAGAGAGACATGGGTTCGACCCGCAGCCAGTCAGTGATACGCACGCGTCTATCTGCGATAGCGCCGCGAATGCTCTCGAATGCCTTGTCCTCAACGTTGATCTCCGGATTCCATTTCAATTTCCAGAGGATCTGAGTCTCGGGCTTTCTCTCGAGCAGCAAAGCTATGCCCTCAGCGAACTGTCTGGCCGTGGCATTATTGAAAACGACATGAGAGCCAAAGTTGGCGAGGACAGTGGGACCGCGACGGACAAACCTGGCCAGATCCGCATTCTCTGTTTCCAATGCGTCCCAAGGACGGACGATGGGGCCACAAAGGGTGAAGTTGCTGGGGACACGGCGAGAGAACTCGTACTCTTTCTTCGAGGGGACAAGAAATGGGGTTTTGTCGCCGGAGCGAGAGATCATACCAGGGGTCTTGCCGCTGAGTTCATTCTCGTTACGGTATCTCTTCAACTCCTTCAGCTCAGACGAATTGTGGATAGCCAGTCCGAGCCCCAGAACCAGAATGGTGTTTGGAATGACCTGGTGCAGGGGCAAAGGGTACAGGTAACCAGAGCAGAGTCTATTTTAAGTGAGTTAACACAAGAAGTTCGCTGCAAGATGGAGCTACTCACGCGGGAAATTTCCAGAAGTTCGCGAGCTTTGGCTGACAGTGGTCCTTGAGAGTATTGGGACTCAAGACGAGATACGGCATCTTCAGCTTGAGACACGCATCGATGGCCGGAGCAAACAATGGATCAACCACAACGACAACTGGCTGAATGTCCTGGATGACGGAAAAGCACTGAAAGTATACCGCCATGTACTCGCTTCCGTTCCAAGGAGCAAGAGCGTTGATCAGCACAGACTTGTACGCGCTCATGGCGCCCCTCAGTCCGACACGATGAATGTTGAAAGTACGGCGGTTACCGACCTTCTGGATGTACGCGTCTTGCATCGACAGTCCGCACAGCGGATGGAAAGTAGCTTCCTGCTGAGCGGATGCGAGGCTTTTGGCGCGTGCATTCATCAAGGTGACAGTAGGGCCAAGCACGGGGAAGGAGGCGATATGGACATCATACTCGGGACGCAGGAGGAACTCATGAGTGACAGCCAGACAAACGGAGGACTGTCCCAGCTCACTGTTAGTGAGGAAGAGGACTTTGGCTTTCTTGTCTTCGTCCATCTTGACTTGACCTTGACTGCAATGAACGTGATGAGATTAAACAAAACAAACGAGACGTGACGAAGCAGAGAGACTTTGATCGTGGAAGATGATACACTTGGAGCTAAGCGAGCAGCGACGAGAGTGTGAGAGAATGGATGATTGCGGAAGAAAGTGATGGTGATGAGAGAAGGAGAAGAGCAAGAAAAGTGAAAATTATGTTCTTGTGTGTGTGTGTGTGTGTGTGTGTTGATAAAGAGGTGAACGACTCAGCGACTCACAGGGCACATGACGCCTAAGTACGCTGTCACGGCGATGCGATATCTCGGAGTCAGTCAGAACTGTCAAGTGCTGGAGCTTCACTTCTCAGAGGAATACTGTGCCCTGGCGGCCATGTGCCTGAGCTAAAAAGAATCACTTGGCCGCATGGTCATGTTCATGAAGCTACAGGCAAGGCCCTCTTTATTCTATCTCCATGCACCGGTTTCTTTATGTTTTTGCGATTAGTACAGCCACAAGAAGGCAGAACATAGCCGGAACTGCATCACCGACATTCAATAGTCTCTCCTGATCGTTTCCAGGACCAGTTGCCTGCCGCTCATTGACACAACCACCTACAACGCAGGTATCTATAGACACGACCACTATACATCGATCCGTATCTTCAATCGCAGCATAGGAAGCCAAGTCAATTGCCCCGGGAACGCCCTGGATACACGGAAGTCGAGACTCAGACACATTTTTCGCTAACTACTACGTCGTTTCTAGGGGCCCTGCAATTGCACGACATAGAGAGCTACCCGAATCGCGAGATGGCTGACAGCATGAAGACGGATCCATCAAGTGACTGAGAGGCATCTACAATACTCGTAAGAGTTATATCAGGCCTCGAAGATGAGATTCGATTAGTGCTTGCTCATAACTCGTTCAGAGATGTCTGCGGTGAGCCTGCGTATGGATTTAAGATGGAATGTACGCAAGCGCTCGCGGTGCAGTGCCTTTAGGGAAATGATATATGTCTCTGCTGCAGGTATAAGCACTATCTGCGCAACATCCTCACGGCAATACAAAGGGTTGGTGGTTGATCGGGGCTTGAAGGTCTGGGGTATAAGACACTGCTACGTCAATCTCGAATCAAATCCTCTTTCTGAACGAGGAAAATATGGCTATGACTACGTCACCCGTATGACTGTCAACGACAAGCTAATGCAAAATCACTTTTTCAACTAATCCTTCTGACAACATCCACTGACAGCGGAATTGCGAGTGTTTATTCGATCGATATCATACGGATTCTCCTCGTACTGAGTCGCCGTGCGAGCCAGCGAGCGCCCAGACATTTTCGACGCTCGAGACGCCCTCCTGCTCATATCAATCACAGATGGAACACTGGACAGGCTGCCAGTCTCACTATCGCTTTCGACGTCAACCGCAGCCGCCTCCACCTCGGCATCGGTCTTCTCGATGACAGGCTCTTCGCGCCGAGCTTCCTGCTGATTGCTCTGCGTAAGACGTTGCATGAATGCATCGGCCTCGGCGGCGTAGCGGCAGCGCTTCCGTATGCGCGCACCGTATAGATAAAACACGATGGGGATCGGGACGCAGGCTAGTGACAGGAATGCAGGAATCGATGACGCCCAATGGATTCCTAAGAAAGTAATCAGCAAGAGGTCGAGTGAAACGAGTGAGGTCACGTGACTTACCCAGCCCTGAGTAGAGGTAGCTGGTGAAGAGGGGAAAGGCTGCGCCAAAGAGAGACCGGAGAGCGGAGTTTGCTGCGAGTACGGACGCCGAGTAGATCGTATATGCATCGATCAGGTAGTTGAATACGCTGAGAAACACGAGAACTAGCCCGAATCCGAAGGGTGCTCCGGCGGCAATCGAGGCCATCCAGTGAATTGAGGGCGAGTTGGTCCAGGCGAACCAGAAAAGACCGATGGGCAAGGCAATAGCACCGACGATACTTGGAGGCAGACGGACTTCGGGGGGAAGGCGACCCGTTGTTTGTCTGCACAATTTGGCGTAGTGCATGTTCTCTGGAAATGTGTAGATGACAGCGATGATCATACCGACCAGGATCCCTAGAAAAGCCAATCCTCCGATACCCTCATTCCAACCGCGGGCCTCCTGAAAGACGATTGGAAAGGCGGCAAAGCAAAGGTATAAGATGCCGTAGATGATAGCCATATATATGCAAAACAGAAACACGATAGGCTCACGAAACAGGAGACGCCATGGCCGCGACAGTGCTGTAGTCAAAGTCTGCTGCAGCGACAGTTTACCTCGTTCAATATCCAGCTTACTACGGTAGACCTTGCCACTCAGTTCAGAGAGCCTTTCGGCGCGTCTGCGCAAGAGAACCGGGGCGTATGTTTCGGGCAGAAACACACAAAGGCATATCCAGATGATACCCGAAAAGATGGCCAAGAACCCTTCCACCCAGCGCCAACCAGCGCCAGAGCCGAGGAAACCTCCGATAATTGGGCCGATAGCTGGTCCGCAAAGAGGTGCTGCAGAGAAGAGGCTAATAGCAATGCCCCGTTTGGCGGCGGGGAACATATCGGCAATACTTCCACCTGCATTGCCAAAGGGAGACGATCCGAAGAAACCAGCCAAGAATCGCAGTATGATCAATGTCTGGATATTCCCAGAACCGGCACATCCGGCATTAAAGGCAGTAAGTAAGCAGAAAGTGAGGGTGAAAACGTTGCGTCGACCGAATACTTCGCTCATCGGTGCCCAAATCAGCGGTCCGAACGCAAATCCAAGGACGAAAAGGGATATTCCTAGAGTGGTGACTTCTCTTGAAGAGCCCAGCTCTCTCATGACCTCGGCCATGCCTCCCGAGTAGGCAGAAGATATCAGCGCAATCGCCAGGGTAGCCAAGGAGACCAAGATCGTGAGCGACCATTTCAGCATAGAGCTGAAATTCATCGGATTGCGCGAGTCACCAGGGATCCAAACAACAACAAAGGGATCATCATCGGTGCCTCGTCCAGCGTAAGGATGATTGATCACCTCGTTCGTGACCACCTTTTGATCAAAGACCAAGCGCCAGTACGGGATCTTGGAGGCTTGGGGCGCCTCGCCTTCAAAGCCAGCCATAGTTTGGCGTGGTGACTGCAGTAATCTTCTGTCAGAGTCCGCATACCAAGAGCTAGAATTTCATATTCCACCTTTAAAAGTCCATAAACTCACCTATCGATTTCTGATTCGATTGGAGATTTCAGAGATCATTTGGCCTGCGCTTTGTTCTCCGAAAATTAGGAGGACCCCTTTGTTGGATGCTCTTCATTCCCTCTTCTCTGTTCGCAACTTGAATGAAAAATGGCCAGGTATATTTTGAAGGCATAATGAGATGATATATAGTAATGATATCAAGTGCCGAAAGAAGCCTCGGCAAGAAGCGAAAAACCAGACGGAATTGATTATAATCCAACATATTCACGAATCAGAGATTGCAGGGATCTTAGATAGCTTGCCCCCTAAATCTCAGTTAGTCAATAAACCTTACGCAATAATACTGAAAGCTTGAATGTTATTCGAGACTCTTGTAGATTGCGGTCCAGTATCCGTGAGATGAAAAACAAATGTCTCCGTCTCCACCGGCACTCTTGAATTCGAAGTCAAACATACTCGCCATTATCAGTGACCAATACGGTCGAAATTGATTTCTCGGATCCCGGCAACATGTTGGATGTCAACGAGAAGTTCAATCTGCATAAATGTTTTCGGACGTCATAGTGACTGGTAGGGTCACCCTAATACTGGCCGATTCTTTTTCTTTTTTCTGTTGTAGAAGCAAGCAACGGGACCCAGGGCTCGGCAACCGGGCCCAGCGCTGCGTACCTGAACCGCTGAAACAGGCCGAGAAGTGGTCTCGAGAGGTAGATGCTCAAGACATCAACATCGCCCGCTGTTCTTCTCAAGCCTCTTCTTCTTATTTATCATGATAGTTCTACCCCCTGGATAACAATGCTGCTGTGTTCGGCATCTCCGACTTATTCTGGAGTCTGGACTCGTAAACCAGAGACCGGCAAATCCTGCCGATAAGCGGGTCCACCAGATAGGCGAGTTCGAGATATACCCGGAAGTTTGCTGCCGAGCCCATCGAACACGACATTGAGTTTCCCAGGAGCAGTGGGGTTCGATGTGCAGTGTTGCTTCTTCTGATTGCTTCTGTAGTGCATGATGGAGGAATAAACGTGGACAAGAAATGTGTCTTTGTTCGAAAATACTGTTCCTCTGCAACGTCGAGTTTTGCGTGAAAATCAGCAACTGGCTCTTTGTCTCATTTGTGAAAATGTAGGTAGAGGAGTTCGAGGTCGAATCAACAGCGAGCTCTTTGCGTTTGAGCAGTCTGATAATTCTGAAGTGAGAGTCAGTATCGAAACAACAGACGGCCAGACGCGAAAGAAACATGCCTTTTCTGAGCGGCGGGATTACGGGCCTTTTAAACGGATTTCCATCATGATGCTTACGTTTTTGCTGTCGGTGTGTGGAGAGATTCAAGCAAATCTGGTACCTGAAGGGAAGTAGTTGTTGCATAGCAAGTGAAGTTTGTTCACTGTGAGAAGAGTAGCTGCATATAATTACAGAGGATGCCCTCTGAATGCCTGATTATACACCATCATTTTGCTACAGATTCGTCGAGCAGGTAATTCAAATATTGACCTTGCATGTCAAGGCAAATTGTCGTTAACTACATATATGGAAAATAAGAGAAGCTGCTAGTCGACCTTAGAGAAAAGCATCTGTTTGTCCTCAATCTCTATCCTACCCGAGACTGAGTAAAAATCACAGCCCTGGTGTAATCTCGTTGGTCCTGCTGTGACTGTTCAACAGCCAGTAGCAGGCGTGTGGTACGGATAAGCAGTTCTGTAGTCGATAGTTGTCAGCATCGGCTCTGGCTCGCGGAGTAGCGGTAACCCCCAGACCTTCAATGTCAACCTCATAACTAGCAGGTGGTATCTCGTCACGATGCATAAGAATAGGGAATTGCTGTTGGGAGACCTCCTTCTGTCGTACCCGAAGCTTGAGACCTACATTCTGCCCCGTGTCGACCCATAGAGTTGGATTGTCGGTTGAGTTGCTGGGGGCATCGCTACTACTCCTCTGTCCTTGGTCCCTTAACCAGTCTCGGAAGAGCCTGACCACGCCGTCTACGACCTCGATGGTGCTTAAAAGGAGATCAGTTCCAGGCACTACCTTCACCACACTCACGACGACGCATAGCTGGGAGAAATTCTCGAAGTCCTCGAGATTAACAGGCCTTGTTACAGGCTTATCCTCTTTGCCGAGTTCACCCTCAAGGAGGTCTATCAGAGTTGTTGTCAGCCTGGGTCCAAACACATGGCTTTCTTCCTTCCGGATCTGCCACGCAAAGTCTCATACCCGAAGATGGAGTTATCCGCGCGCCACTACCTCTCTGCTCAATAGTCACTTCTGGACGAAATCGTGAATAGAGAGAGGTCAGTCTTCCCAGTCTCTTGGCTGTGTCTACGTCCTCGTACAGCGAGCCCTTCCCCTCATATCGGTCGCTTAAGCCATCTGTGCCAAGATACTTGCAGAACACGTGGGGTTCGGTAAGCTTAGAGCTTGGGTGAAAGCATTCGAGGATAAGCTTGTACTCTTTCAGAGCCGCGGCTAGCAGAAGACGATAATGAATGATGCGTAAGACCAGGGCATGAAAGCGATGGGAGATGGTCGCTAAAGGGAGTAGGTCACGGGTGGAGAAGGGGGATAGGATGTGGACAAAGACCTAGAGTCCGAAATAAGGGATATTAGTCTACAGCAAGGATCTAAGGTTATGAGATCCCTCAGGAAATACCTCATTTGGCAGACAGTAGAGATGGAGTTGCGGAGTCTTGCTGGAAGCCATCCTGCTGTCCAGTCCAGCCTCGATGACGTGGGGAGCCCGGCGTCTGGACGGAGTTCATCGACAAGAATGACGGTGCATCATAGGAGTCACTTTGAACACGAGACTGATCTTTCACAATCTCAAATGGAAGACACAGTCTGAACAATCAGAAGCAGACCAGATTGTGGCTGATAAGCGTTGTTGATAAGCTCAATAGAGCTGCCCCTCATTTATCCGAAGGTCCTTGGGAGGGAGGTAACTACTAGTTCTACTGACGTCAGCCCGAGTCCGTTGCGATGATGTGTTCGGCTCGGCGTGGGAAAATTCGGCTGCCTCTTCAATAGGAAAATGACCCGGTTTGTGATTGAGCTAAAGGGTATGGAGTGGCATGGCTAAAATGTATTTTACCGAGGCCAATTTGAGCTCTCCTCATATGTCCTAATTGGTTGCGCTGGAATCGGGTTATTTGACTCCGCCGGATATCGTAGTATGCATCCGACCTTTGAATCAATAACAGCCATCTTGAATATGTTCAGGTGAGGACATAACATCAAGCAGTGAGCGTGCACAAAAAGAGAGCAGCTATATACAGACCGGCTGTCTATCCGACCATATTCAGCCGAGCACCTACTAAGTCTCAGTGAATGGAAACAAAATAGACCGGGCGGAGACCCCGCGACAACTTTTCCGGAGCCCCGCCGCATTGACCGGCCTCCTGGTTGGGCAGATGACATTGAAACCCTTTCTCGACTGAACAGTTTTCCTTTTTCTTTCTTCTCTTCTTTTCTTTTCTCAGGTCGCTTGGTCTGTTCGGTCTTTCGTTGAAAATCCTCCTCAATTATCTACAATGGTTGAAAGCGTTCTCGACGACATCTCCCACCGGAGGTTCAACCCCCTCCGGGGATCTTACATCCTAGTTTCTCCTCACAGGACTAAGCGCCCGTGGCAGTAAGTTGAAAAGATATTCTTGGGTGATGAAAACATCATTAACCAAGTGATCGCGCAAAACAGAGGACAGCAGGAGAGCCCCTCCAAGACCACCTTGCCCGCTTATGACCCTGCTTGCTATCTGTGCCCAGGTAACAAGCGCGCGCAGGGAGACACCAATCCCAAGTATGAGAAGACGTTTGTCTTTGTCAACGATTACAGTGCCGTCAAGGAGGAGCAGGCTCCTTATAACCCTGAGGGCGGAGATAGTGCGTCCCCAGATGCAGAGGCGAGGAAAATGACGGAGCCGTCACTAATGCGCAATCCTCCTAGGTGTCGAGTCATTCTTTCTCAAGGCCGAACCTGTGACGGGCAAATGCTATGTGTTGACCTTTTCTGCGGCCCATAACCTCACCCTGGCAGACTTATCGCCAGCCGAGATTGTCCCTGTCGTAGATGCATGGACCGAGATCTACTCGGCCCATTTGTCGCCCAAGTCTCCTCTGGCCGCCGTGGCTCCTGCGACCACACTGCCTCCCAACTCCCCCTTCGCCAACTTGTCCAAGCCCAAGGAGCAATACCGGTACATGCAGATCTTCGAGAACAAGGGCGCTGCTATGGGCTGCTCGAATCCCCACCCCCACGGTCAGGTTTGGACCACCAGCTCGCTGCCTGAAGAGCCAGCGATGGAACTGGAGCAGATGAAGAAATATCGACGGGAGCACCAAGGCAAGCATATGCTGGAAGACTATGCCGCCCTGGAATGCCGGAAGCAGGAGCGCGTCGTATTTGAGAACGAGGCTTTCCTGGTCGTCTGCCCGTGGTGGGCAACCTGGCCGTTCGAAACCATGATCGTCAGCAAGAAGCACAAGCGCGCGCTCGTTGACCTCAATGAGAACGAGAAGGCCCAGCTGGCCGAGGCCATCGCCGAGATCACCAGACGGTACGACAACCTCTTCGAGACGCACTTCCCTTACAGTATGGGCATTCACCAGGCGCCGCTCGAGGGCACCAATGAGGAGATCGAGTCTTCGTACCTGCACCTGCATTTCTATCCTCCGCTGCTGCGCAGCGCAACCGTGCGGAAGTTCTTGGTCGGGTAGGTTCTCTACAGTTCGCACCTATTGACATATCCGCTAACCAACCCCAGGTATGAGATGATGGCCGAGCCCCAGCGTGATATTACCCCTGAACAAGCGGCTGCGAGATTACGTGGTTGCGGAGGAGAGTTGTACAGGAAGAAGATGGACGCATGAGGCGAGTCAGAGGAACCAACTTTTGTATAGATAATTAGGTTAGTGCTAGGAATACCCATATCCTGTCTTGGGAAGGACGGATCCGGTCTCGACCTCGGTCAGCTTAGTACCGAGCCGCCGAGACAGTACAGCAAACCCAAAAAAGTTGTAGATGAGATATCCATGTCCATTGAGAATGTCGTCAAGACCGAGGAACCTCATTTAGACTCTACGCAGAGAGATAAGCTTCCCTCTGCGTCAACATCCAGGTCAACGTCGACGACGCAACAATCAACGGGCTCACGAACCGCCCCTTGAGCTGCGCACTACCGAAAGCCAACCACTCGCCGACAAAGTGGACAAGGGCAAGGCCAAAGCTCCAGATTGCAAGGTCGTATACAGCGGGAGTGGTGATATTGTAGGCCGCGTACATCCGGACGACGGCCGAAAGGAAGGTCCAGGTGCCAAAGGTGCGGGAGGACAGAGGGGTTACGAACGAGCGGCCATCAGCGGTTCTGGCATTGTAGAGCTCTGCGGCGTAGCTGTCCGAGCGGTAGCATTGGAGGCTGTTGATTGCAGAGACGACGGAGACCTGTTCAGCAAGGATGGTCAGTTCTGATTCTTTGTTTACAGCAGAGTCCAGTCAGTAAACACGCGTACCAAGACGAGCCATTTGGGCAGAAGACCCTCGAAAGGGGGTAGGTAGGAGAGGATACTGGTCATTATGTAGATGGGATGGAAATGCAATTGCTATTAAATGGATTAGGTTACAGCGAGTTTGCTTTTCATATGCATCTACCTTGTGGACGATGAAGGGTGAACACCAGACTAAGGGGGCCGAGGTACGGCGGACTATTGGTCCCACTCCGCAGTCATGAGTACCAAAGGTAGGGAACTTTAGATAACTTTGAATACCACCGAATCGTCATAGACCTCCTTAGGGATATTGAATCATTGATAGAATAAGTCATTACAAAGTAGTATGTCGCATTCCAATGCGGACATTGAATACTACCTTAGAGAGGTATATGTTTTGAATGTCCTGTCACTAGTGGGTCTCCCCGACAAAATGTCTTCCTGGTTTCTAACCCGTATGCATAGCGCTCTCTTATATGAGCATTCCATGTCCTTGCTATATATACTATAGGATGAATTAAATCAGGCTATATGATGATTCATATCCTAGTATACATGCCATTGAATATTCGTGGAGGTAGCAGCATTGAGTGAACAGTAAACTAGTGATAAGCATCTTTTGTAGAAGCTGTCCGCCGTAATAAGGCTGATATGGCTGGCCGAGGATGTTCGGTCTTGGCGCAATGTTTCTCCCCAACAATTTTGACTTCTCCGCGTGCGGCGCGCTCCTTCAATTGATAATAACATTGTACTCCCGCCGACAAGCTTCTTTATCCTAACAACTGCAGTGTCAGTACGGGAGAGGTCGTCGTCATGGAGTACCTGTCGAAGTATACAGCTTGTTTATCCAACTGGGGGCTCAACCTTGAGCCCGGTCTGCAGACTGTGGGCGCTGCGGTCCTGCTTACGACGGGGAGCTTGTTTATTGCTTCGCGAGTTTTGACTTTTATCAGAGTGCTCTTGAGTTTGTTTGTGCTTCCAGGGAAGCCGGTACGTTGGATATTATTATTATTACTCTAGTCAACTTTCATACTGACAGTAGTCAGCTCCGCTCGTTCGGCCCCAAGGGTAGCTGGGCAGTGGTTACAGGTGCCTCGGATGGATTAGGCAAGGAGTTTTCTCTACAGCTCGCTCGCGCCGGCTTCAACATTGTGCTTGTGTCCCGGACTGCCTCGAAGCTCGCCACATTGGCCGAGGAGATCACTACCAAACACTCCGTGCAGACCAAGACGCTGGCAATGAACTTTGCTGCCAACGACGACGCCGACTACGAGGAATTCAAGGCGATAGTAGATGAACTGGACGTCGCGGTCCTGATCAACAACGTCGGCAAGAGCCATGACATCCCTACCCCGTTCGCACTGACCCCCGAGGACGAGATGACGGATATTGTGACCATCAACTGCCTGGGCACCCTGCGCGCTACACAATTGATCATCCCCGGCATGATGCAGCGGAAGCGCGGTCTCGTGCTGACGATGGGCTCGTTCGGCGGTCTGCTCCCCACCCCTCTACTGGCTACGTACTCTGGCAGCAAGGCCTTCCTGCAGCAGTGGTCGACGTCCCTTGGCTCCGAGCTCGAGCCGTACGGCATCACGGTCGAGCTGGTGCAGGCGTACCTTATCACCTCTGCCATGTCGAAAGTGCGCCGGACCAGCGCCACGATCCCGGACCCGCGGGCCTTTGTCAAGGCTGTGCTGTCCAAGATTGGTCGCAATGGAGGGTCTCCGGGCTATGCGTACAGCTCTTCGCCATACTGGAGTCATGGTCTGATGGCCTGGTTCTTGACCTGTGTGATGCAGCCGATGGGCAAGTTGGTTGTCGGCCAGAACAAGTCCATGCACGAGGCCATTCGGAAGCGTGCTTTGCGTAAGGCGGAGCGGGAGAAGGGGAAGAAGAGTACTTAGCTGGGCGGGGGCCATGGGTTAGCTTTCAGGCTGTATGTACCCTGGCTAAGACATCTAATGTTGGAGACTGCATGTGGATTAGATCCAATGTTGGAGGACATAGTGACGAAGACTGATAAGACTATCAACAAGGATGAATAACGAAAAGATTTTGTTAGAGTACGCTCCACTATCTAGATTCTGTATGGAACAGCCGATCCAGACTTGGTTTGCAGGCCGTCTTCCAGTGTTACGAGGTCAATGGCACAAGCCTTTACCATATCACTCCATGCTCCTGCCTCATGGGACGTCATGGTCTATGGAGTGTATTAAGGACAAGGCCGTGAGGATAAGAGTCAACACTGTCCCTCGGTCAGCCCTCGGCCAGATTTCTTGCGTGCTGCCATAAACATCTAGAGGTCTAGATCCCAGCAATGAAGAGGTAGCGCGAAGACATGTAGGTGCTACACTGTGCGGTCCATTACCCATTTTCACCTAAGATAATTCTCAAGGACTAAATCAACACAGACAATTTCACACCACGCCATTCCTGCATCTTGACTCTATAGTCCGGGCGTCTCATCATCAGACTCGGATAACCTTCTGTCTACGTCCGATCAAAGCCATGCAGTAAATATCTGAGATTGTAAAGGCCGCTTGATCATTTCACACTTTTTCAGATAGTGTGCCCAATGCAGAGTACACCATGAGACTTGTATTATTAGAGGAGCAGCTACAGCAGCAAATATTGCCACCATGAAACCCGTTTTGCAAGGCAGCCTCGACGGTCAACACTACTGCACGAGTCGGCCCGTCACTTACCGAGTTGAGTGAAGCGGCATGCCGAGTCTCACCGAAGTCTAAAACGGTCAACTAATCTGTAAGGTAATCACCGAGCTATCAAAAGATTACGTCCCGGAATTCCAATCCCAGAAAGTCCGGTGAATCTCCGAAGCCTGCATGTTGTATGGTACGTCAGATGGATCCTTGGTCGAGTATCTAGACTACTTTGGCCAGGGTAGGAAAGGGAAAAGCCAAGTTCAATGGCTGATGATGATGCTGATCGCCTTGTTCCTGCATCTACATTGATTGGATGGGTGTTACGGAAGACTTCGGACGCTAAATATAAATCGCATTTTTACACTATGTTGTTTTCAGTTATCGATCATCAGTCTGTTGATCAACGGATGCGACCCGTTGACTGAATTTTTTTGTCTTGTGGGTCGGTGGTGGTCCCATTGAAAAATCAGTAGACGATGCTAAAAATTATGGTCTGCTGCTTCTAAAGAGATGATGTTTTCAGAATTTGAGACGGGAAGAGATGCGCCCTTAAGTACAGTTACAGTAATTCTTGTGAATAGGAGATAGTTAATGATACAAGACAGACGACGCATAATAGAATCATGATAAGTTTAGAGAGATACAAATGAGATTGAGATAATGACGCACTATGCCGACTATGTACAAGAAGGCCCACTATGAGCTAGTATGATGCAGATCCACCATCGGTGAACTAGAACAGGATGTGCAAAATTTTCATGGCTCGGGCTGGGCTTGCTGTGTTCAATCGGCACACCGAAAATCTCGACAATCCCGAGTCCGCATGAGCATGCCGATCGGTCCGAGTCCGTCACCGAAGAAGTGTCAAACCATGTCAGTCAGAATCAGCACACTCTCTGCTTATCTATTCTCAGGACATTGATATCGAGAATTATCTTGGAGTCATAAGTAGTGACTAGAGTCCAAATCTACAGACCCGACATGGTATAAATCCACCACTCCTTCCCTTCGCCACTCTTTCCTGCAGTCTTTCCTGCAGTCTTTGTTGTCCTGCTCTCGGCATCGTCTTCTCGGGCTCAATGAGCAAAATTCTTCCCGATGGCCCCACCGAATGATCTAGTGGTCAGCTAACCACAAACTAGGCGCTGCTCTAAGCCTTGAATCATGATCTGCCTCGACCTTGGAAACGCTTCGCTTGGCTGAGGCAGCCGAGAGAGGTACGTACCTGCTTGTAATAATACAACTCAGTTTTAGTCAATGTTACAACACAAAAAAGAAATTAAACACAAGGCAGGGGCCGATGGTGGATCCGCTGCCTGAGGCTGCTCTTTAGCTGGCCTGGTTCTGAATCAAGGGACCTGAAGGGATAAAAGAATGAAACCTCAAATGATTTGAAATCACTAAGACAGTAGTTTGTGTACAGGCAGTATGTCTCAATTGTATCCAATATTTATCAAGCAGTAAGATTGCAATTGAAAGTGTAACTATCTGTCGTACTGTACTGAGAACTGTCCATCGCTCGCGTGGAGTCCCGATCGGGAAATGCCCGTGGCATCAAGGACTGTCGGAGACGTCGAAGTCTCAGACTCCATCTGCATCATCGTTGCATTCCAATCACATCATGTCATTCAGATCTCCAAATTACTTCGTACTGCCGACCATCCAGGCACAACCCGATGAATAATCTCTGCTTCGTGGAAATCACCTGTCCCTCCTCTTCCTCCTCGCCTCCCCCCTTCTCCACTCCCCACTAGAATTTTCCAAGAACACCACCCCTCGTTCTGGTCGACGCTCCCCCTAGCTTCACTTGTCTGATGTCGCTGCGTACCGTCCAATCATCACCGGCGAGTCACTCACTTTCCGTCTCTTCCAGATGGGGTCCCCATCCATTGTGCCCCTGCCATTCCTCTGGCCCATGGGCGTACCCCGGGTGGAAGTCAGTACTGCCGATGGATGAAGACTTTTTAACGCTCTGACTCCGTATATAATTTCCCCTCACTCCCCTCTTCTCTTTTCGCTCTCTTCCTCTCTTTCTTTCCTCCATCCCCGTGAGCCTTTCCCCCCTCTGGATGAACCGCCATCATGGGTGTCTCCAATCTCCTATCAAAGTTCGGCAAGCCTGCCGTGGAACAGCATGAGGACTCGCAGGCTACTACTCCTGCTCGTGCCGACTCCACGCTGGAGAAGGACAGTGACCTCATCGACGACAGTCCCGTCAAGTATCTTACATGGCGGTCCTTCATCCTGGGTATTGTCGTCTCCATGGGTGGTTTCGTTTTCGGTTACGCAACTGGTAAGTTATCGCTCTAGGATCTGCCTCATCGGTTACAATCGCTCATGATTTTACTATAGGTCAGATTTCTGGTTTCACCACCATGGATGACTTCAAGAGACGATTCGCCGAGGTCCAGCCCGACGGATCATACAAGTTCAGCAACGTTCGCAACGGTCTCATCGTCGGTCTTGTACGTTGTCATCATATCAAAGTCGCATCATTCTTCGCTAACCACTCGAACAGCTGTCGATTGGTACCATGATTGGCGCTCTGGTCGCTGCTCCCATTGCTGACCGCATGGGACGCAAGTTCTCCATCTCCTTCTGGTCTCTGGTCCACATTGTCGGTATCATCATCCAGATGGCCACCGACAGCAAGTGGTACCAGGTTGCCCTCGGCCGTTGGGTGGCTGGTCTGGGTGTCGGTGCGCTGTCCAGCATCGTTCCCATGTATCAAAGTGAATCCGCTCCCCGCCAGGTCCGTGGTGCCATGGTCAGTGCCTTCCAGCTGTTCGTGGCCTTCGGTATCTTCATCTCGTACTTGATCAACTACGGTACCGAGACCATTGAGTCGACCGCCTCCTGGCGTATCACCATGGGCATTGGCTTTGCCTGGCCCCTGATCCTCGGTGTGGGAACCCTCTTCCTGCCCGAGTCGCCCCGCTTTGCCTACCGCCATGGCCGCATTGATGAGGCTCGCAAGACCATGAGCAAGCTCTATGGCGTTAGCCCCAACCACCGTGTGGTTGTGCAGGAGATGAAGGAGATGAAGGACAAGCTGGACGAGGAGAAAGCTGCCGGCGTAGCTGCCTGGCACGAGATCTTCAGCGGTCCCCGCATGTTCTACCGTACCGTTCTGGGCATTGCCCTGCAGTCCCTGCAGCAGCTCACCGGTGCCAACTTCATCTTCTACTACGGTAACAGTATCTTCACCTCCACCGGTCTGAACAACAGCTACGTCACCCAGATCATCCTGGGCGCTGTCAACTTCGGTATGACCTTGCCTGGTCTGTACGTTGTCGAGCACTTTGGCCGCCGGAACAGTCTGATGGTCGGTGCTGGCTGGATGTTCATCTGTTTCATGATCTGGGCCTCCGTCGGCCACTTTGCTCTCGACCTGGCGGATCCCTCCAACACTCCCCAGGCCGGTGCTGCCATGATCGTCTTCACCTGCTTCTTCATCGTCGGCTTCGCCACCACCTGGGGTCCGATCGTCTGGGCCATCTGTGGTGAGCTGTACCCCGCCCGCTACCGTGCCATCTGCATAGGTATCGCAACCGCCTCCAACTGGACCTGGAACTTCCTCATCTCCTTCTTCACCCCCTTCATCTCCAGCTCCATCGACTTCGCTTATGGTTATGTCTTCGCCGCCTGCTGCTTCGCTGCCGTCCTTGTCGTCTTCTTCTTTGTCAACGAGACCCAGGGCCGCACCCTCGAGGAGGTCGACACCATGTACGTCCTGCACGTCAAGCCCTGGCAGAGCAGCAGCTGGGTGCCCCCCGAGGGTATCATTCGGGATCTGCACCCCGCTCCCGAGGAGAATCAGAAGCAGGAGGGCCAGGGTCAGGTCGAGCACAACGAGCCCACCGAGATCCGGGAGTAAACATCCCGTCTCGAACTCATGTACAGTATTTCTGGGGACGGGTTCTGCAGATTTTTCTTTTCATGTTGCATATGAATGAATCACTCTAGTTCGCTTGATGTGCATACTCATTGCAAAAGATACGGCGTTCAAACGGTTACTGGGAGCATTTAGACCATCAATCAATCAATCAATCAATCAATTCTCATATCATCTTGGACTTCTGTACAAACCCACTTTAGACATTGTAACTGTCTATTAGTTGGGCCATCGGCTGTAACCCCCTCTGGTAGACTTTTGCACTTTCCATCTTGGCTTAGCAATTCCTCTAGCCCTAAAACATCGTAGTCTGCGGAACTGTATACAACTCGACTATGCAATTGCACTACATCTGATAGGCGGCAGAAACGCATACAACGATCTAACCTTGAACTTTTCGTATATAAGCGATACCATGAAATTGATTCTTGACTCTAGGGATATAGACCAGGTATTCAAGCGGTGTCATTCAAATCAGGTGGAAAGAATCAGAATGGAAGAATGCAAGCACAGATAAAGGACCCCAACGCCGATTTTTGACACCCGTTTCCGTTTTGAAACAATATACGACTAAGATTAGGAATGGACTTCGTCTCATCGTCGACTTCGATCCTGACCACGATTGCAATGCGGATGCCTTTACCGGCGCTGGGTCTTGCCGATCGTGCGCTTTCCGGTGTACTATTGTGTGATAAAAGTTAGTGGATGAGGGGAATCATAGGTAGAAAAAACGGGGAAGGGGAAAACGTACCAGATGCTTGGGCAAGGAGGCGGTCGTGTGTCGGTCTGCTTCTCCGGCTCTGGCCATCCGGTTCATCTTCTTCTGGCCCAGCTTGAGAAGGCGCTCGGCCTTGCTGCGGGATGTCGTGTCCGTCACACCGTCGACCAGACGGTTGGTGGCCGCCTGGCTGCGGGCGCGGCTCTTGGCGCGGGCAATCGCCTGGCGAGGATCCGAGCCGTCGATCTCCATGGCGTCGCCGGTATCGATCTCGCTGCGGGTGGTGGTGCGGCCGCGTGCCTGGCTCTGGGAGCGGGCGCGGGCGGCAGCCGCATCGACGTCGTAGCCGGCCGCGTCCAGAGCCTGCTCCATCTGCGACAACTTCTTGGCCTTGGCGCTGCGGGGGATGGCCGCGCGGTTCTTGAGCGACTTGCGCAGCTTGGCGTCGTTGCGCATCAGCGCGCGCTTCTCGCGGATCAGGTCCGCCTTCATGCGGTTGTCTGCGTCCTCGACATCCTCGACGCTCTCGTCCGAGTCGTAGAAGCCCTCCGCCTCCAGCTTTTCCTCCTCTTCCTCCAGCGCGGCCAGCTTCTGCTCGATATCCGGATCCACAAAGTCGTAGACGTTCTTGCCGTTCCAGACCTCGGGGATCTTGTCGTGCTTCCACTCGTCGTCGGCCAGCGTGTAGTTCTTCTTGAGGTCGACGTTGTACACACCGGCACCGCCGTTCTCCTCCTCGATGTCCCGCTCGAGCTTCTTCCGGTTCGGGTCGTCCTTGTCGTATTTCTTCACGTTCTTGACCGCCTCGGGAATGAATGCCTCACGCACGCCACCGACAGGCTGTGCCACGTGGATACGCGCCAGCACGTCACCCAGACGACCTCCGGGAGTCCCGGAGCTGTTGGTACCTGACTTGAGCTTCTGGGCCACTCGCTCGGCCAGGAGCTTGTCGCAAGCAGCGTTCTTTACAGCCGTGACACCCTCGGTGGTTGCGCACGACAGCTGCAGCATCTCCACGTCGCCGGACTTGAGGATCTTCTGGATCTCCTCTTGGTATTCCGGTTCGAGATCCTCGGGCCGACGGACATCAATCTTGTTGACCACCAGGAACACGATCTTGTTGGCAAACAGAGGTCTGATGCTGTGGAAGAGCTTGATCTGATCGGCGACCGAGTAGCCACATTGCTCGGAAAGATCCATGAAGTACATGATGGCAGAGCGAAGATGGGCAATAGCGGTAATGGACTGCATTTCAATCGTGTTCATTTCCTCCAGAGGGTGATCCAGGATACCAGGAGTGTCAATGGCCTGGAATCGCAGGTACTTGTAGTCGAAATGGCCAACGAACAAACTCTTTGTGGTGAAAGCATAGGGCTGGACATCGACATCGGCACGGGTGATGCTGCGCAAGAAGCTGGACTTTCCGACGTTGGGGTATCCGCAGATCAGGAGAGTACGGGTGTTGGGGTCGATGGAGGGAAGACGACCCAAATGCTGCCGAACCTGCTCCAGATAGACAAGGGGATCCTTCAGACGTCTGCAGATGGTGGCCATACGACCCAAGGCGGCACGCTTGAGCTGCTTGCACTGAAACAGAGACTGAGCATATTTGATGAGACGGACATAGTCGCGAGATACGGTTTCGATGAGATGCTTGGCGGTCGACACCTGGCCGAGAGCGATTCTGAAGTGGTCGGCGTCATAAAGGGTGTTCATAAGATCCTTGTCTTAAGGATGTTAGTTATAGAGCAAATGAAATCGCAAGGCAGGAACGTACGGAAAGGATGGATATCCTGCAATCTGGGGAATCCATCGAGAATTGCCTGGAACTTGTCGCAGAATGTTTCCTGGGTGAATCTGACCTTCCGAGTGTAGAAACCTATTATTGCGCAGAGAATTTTCGTTAGTGCCACTGTTCTTCTTTTGAGGACATGAAATCAGACGGATATGGTATCCGTTCACAAATCCATGCAAAAATCCTGTGGAATCGGCCATACCTCTAATACGACTGATCTTGAAACCCGCACGGATCTGTGTAGGGAGCTGTCTCTGTGTGCGACTGAGAACGATATCCAAGAACTCCTGGTTCGTTGGCACAGGTGGGATCTAATCAAGCGGTGAAAAATCCATCAGTTCAGGCTGTTCTGACACAGTATCTGAGAATATATCCATCAACAAGACCACTTACATCCTTCCAGGTCGTCTTCATGATGGGCACCGGCAAGAGAAATAAAACTTGAAAAACTCTTGCGATGTTTCCCGGTGGACGAGCTGATGGAGAGATGTTGTTGATAGACGGGAGGAAAAAAATTATTTGCGGGCGGTCGGGCGGGCAGATTTTGGCGGGCGGTGAACAGCAGAGATGTGGGGAGGGAACAGTAGCGAGACTCTGGTTACAGCGAATAGATAGATCATTGATAAAGGAAAAGGGGAAAAAAATTAAATACTTATTGCATTTTAATCATAATCATGTACATTGACTGTCATCATGGGAGTATGGTTACACATAAGATGGCTGAAAACACAGTCCCTCCGTTCCAGACCCATGACAGAACTCCGTTGCTTTTTCCTCGTAAAGCCCACCATCTAAGACCAAAAACCAGAGTGTGACCCATTAACATGCAAGCTCGTGGGGATAAAAGACAGAGTGAATAACAAAGAAAAGATGAAAGACGACATCAATCTTGCCGAACGAGGACACGCAATACAGAACTCGAAGTAAGATGAACCATTGGTCATGAACTAATGATTATTCCTGGGCGAATTCCAGCACCTGATCCAGTTAGCATTCACATTCTGAGGAGGGCACATATCTTCTAATCAATCAAGAATAAACTTACCAGGTCAGTCCATCCGCCACCGCCAAACTGACACTTGCTGGGACCACGGTTCTCAAACCCGAAAGACTCGTAAAAGGGCACCAGATGGTCATGCGCAATTATGGAGAGGCGCTCTGCGATCGCGGCTTCCCTGATCCGCTGGATATATGACTTCATTAGAGTGCTTCCGACTTGCTTGCCCTGGTGTTCCGGAAGTACAGCGAGGGAATGGATGGCGATGGTGCTGCCGTACTCGTCGTGTCCGATGATCTCTCCGTTCTCCGTAACGACGCGTGCACTCATCCAGTTGGACGGGAGCTTCATGGCATTATCTGTGACGAGTTGTGTTGAGGTCCGCGTGGCAATGATATGACCGATCAAAGTCGGACGCGGCTTGGGTTGGCCCTTTGGTACAATGGGAATGGTGAATAGGCCTAGACATAATTCAGGACATTTTGTGAGGCGGTAGATGAACTGGCAGAGAGCAGAAAAAGGTCAGCACGAGATTCCAATTAATTAAAACAGCAGTTTCAGACAGGCGAACACACCTTCTCTCGGGAGCAGCGCTCGTTTTCTGGAAATGCGTTTTCAACCTCGACACAATCATCGACATTGGACACTGTCAGAATCTGGACAAAAGGATGCAGTTCATCCAATTTGGTGCGATGATGCACAGGCGGGCGCCGAAGCCAATATGAGAAATCACTAATCTCGTCAGGGTCGACTGCGACATAGTCTTCGTCCACCTCTTCGTGGTCTTCGTCGGCAGTCTCCAAGGGAAGACCATTCGCCATGGCAGCCTCTGCACGTGGAGACAAATCGCTGGCTGTCGCACGGAGGGGGGAATAGTCATCTGCGTTGGACAAGGGCTTGAAACCGGTCATGGTTTCGGTCTGATGGGTGGGTTCCGCCATGGCCAAGGGGAGTTTCAGTTCTCTTGTTCCGTTGGAGATATCCGATATCTCCCAAAATATCTCCCAACTAAACTCACGACAAGGAAAGGTTGCAAGGAGACTGAGACTCAAATCTATCACTGGCGCACAGATACCTAGGTGGTAATGGCGATGGCGGAGAATGACGGGGGAGGGCTGAAAATTAGAGGGGTTTCCAGTTTGGCGGGAAAGCCTAGAAAAAGCGAGTGAGTGGACTGTGGAGCAGCTTAATGCGGGTGATATGATAGCATTAGATCGGGAGAATTACAGAGTGGATGGACTGAATTAGACTCTTCACATAGGGTTGATTTGAAGATTGATGGCATTCTATCTTTGTGATTACTCGATCTATAATTCTTCAGTTGCATATTGACCAGGATAGTGATAAGGGACCTGCATCATGCAACTCAAGAGGATATCTGATTGACTGTGCTATCTTACAATCTGCAGACTGTGCGGTTGCCACCAGGGGAAAACTCTGAGTAGTACCTCTGTAGTACGTACTAGCTAGATAGTGGCACGTCTTATCGAGCATTCTTCAGGACAGAATTTCCAGCATTTCTTCAGACATCCCAAGTAACGTGACTGTCAGCCATGTTCCCAAGTACCTCTTACTGTGTCACTCTTTTCATCCATCGTTAAGCTACCAAGCAGTGATACTAGCCTCGACTAGTGGAAAAGCCGAGGAGACTACTATCGGATCGGATTTACTCTACATACAACTAACTATCTTGTTACCTCTCTATCGGAGTATACATACTGTAACTCGGTGGTAGTGTCGGCCATACGAGCAGTCGATACTATGAGCGATTATCCACCATTCGGACTGCACATCTCATCAATGAGTAATGAGGACGAGAGAATTTCTCTCAAATCTTAAAGCAGCTTATAATGATGGGAAACCCCATTAGCAGGCAGTTTCTGCGCATAAAGAAAGAGAATGATGAATGTAACAGCCGACCGACAGCGGAATGCGTCATACTCCGGAGTAAAGAAAACTAAATCCCGCATCGACTCATACTACACACAATATTTTCTTTGGGCCCCCTCGACTTGTTAGGTAGCTTCTAAGCCTGTCGCCCTTTTTCTGGCTTCTGGGTTGACCGCTACATATAACTCATATTTCACTCCTCTATATCATCCTCAGTCCCTTTTCTTCCATGCATCCCTTTCTGGTCTTGTTCTCGTGGGTCTTTGACAGGAACGAAACATGAGCCCTCACACTGGTTGGCCGCGGACGGTCAATTCATCTCTCCTCAAGGTACCGAATCATACAACAACCGGATAATTCAAGCGTCTCTGACCGCATTTGTAATGTCCAGAAGCATCGCTCGTCGCTTTGCACCTGCCAGCATACATCGTCTTTCTTGCCTCGATCCTTTTCCACCACTGCTGATCGGCATGTCCAGCAGAGCGCCGACTTTTCTTCTACTAGTCGGAGCTATGACCGGTTAGGCCGACGAGCAAAGGAGAAGCTGCTCGACCGGGTACAGTCACACTGCAGTGCGTATTTATAAGCTCAATTGGCTAACGGGTCCTTTTTTTCTCAATTGCAGGAATTCTTTCTGAGCTTGTTGAGCTCCGCATCCACCAAGCGAGAAGCCAAATCCTATCTGGCTCGGCTGAAGGCTCAACACCCAAAGTCATCCGATCAGAACAAACCCGAACCCGTGGAACCAACTGCAACACCTACCTTACCCTCTGGTGTCAATCTGGGGTCTTTCTACGGAGCCTCTAGATCCGTCTACGAGAGTCCTGTCTTCCGACAGGGCTCCAGCCCTACCACTCCCCCTCCGCTAGAGCCCCTCGAACGACTGCATTTGGCCTTGGTCAGATTGTCCACCCCCCAATCTCTTGATGACAACATTATCGACGGCGTCGCAAGGACTCTGTCTCAATTGAATCGGTTAGGTTTGACCTGCTGTGTTGTGGTTGATCCGGGGACGGAGGGGGTTGCAAGTACTCTGCGACAAGTTGCTATTGAGCAAGCCGATCGCTTGGCAGTCGCAATTCAAAAGCAGCCCGACTCGAAATCACTTCGACTCGACTCGGCCTTTTCCATTGACCCTTCGCGCTCTGATCTCCCACAAGTTTTCTCTCGAAAGGCGCTGCTGAATCCGCTACGCCATGGCCACACCGTCATTCTGACTCCCATTGCATACACTGAACATGTTCCTCGGGCGGTCATAGTGCCAGCGAACGATGCCGTGCTCGCGTTGACGAAAGAGCTGGCTGGTCTAGCAAGCACCCCGGACCCTGATGAGGATCCTATGGTCACTGCAGAAAGAATCGGCCGCCTCCAGAAAGAGGTGTCCTTGGACAGGGTGATTCTACTAGATTCACTAGGTGGGATTCCGGCGTTCAATCGGCGACAGACATCCCATGTATTCATAAACATGGAGCAAGAATACGATGATATCGAAAACGAATTGTTACAAGCGCGAGAGATCGTGCCTGCCGCAGAGATAAGCCTGTTGAAGGCGGGACCCAGTTCCCTAACAGACAACAACCCAGTTTCAAAATTCGTCAACGCAGAGGTCGTGCCAGTGCCCTCTGGCCCGACGCAGGACCTGAAAATCGCGACCCCCAAAGGAGTGCAATCGAAGGCCATCTGGAAAATCTGCGCGTTGCCCAGAAAGCGCTCGCTATGCTACCCTCGGCCTCATCAGGAATCATCACGTCGCCATTCGAGGTCGCGAGCTCGGCCCAGACGTCGCCTACGTCTGAGTTTTCCGCGGTGGGCACTCGACGGCAGAGAAACCCCCTAATCCACAATCTACTGACGGACAAGCCCTTGCTATCATCGTCCCTGCCGATGAGTCGGCGTGGGCCGACGAGCAATGGGCAAGGCACCGTTTATCCCGTCACCTCTCATACTACGTTTGTCAAACGCGGTATGCCGCTGACTATGCTGCCCAATCCGTGGTCGGAGCCGTGGACAGCTCAGAATCGGCCGCGGCTGAAGTTGGACGATCCAAGCATCGACTTGCCTCGCTTGGTTCATCTCATTGAGGACTCCTTTGACCGAAAACTCGACGTCCAAGATTACTTGAACCGTGTCAACGATCGCCTTGCCGGGTTGATCATCGCCGGTGAGTACGAAGGCGGTGCCATTCTAACCTGGGAACTTCCCCCTGGCGTGAAGGACGATGGCAGTGAGGCCAGTAATGCTCGAATGGTCCCGTACTTGGACAAATTTGCCGTGCTCAAGCGCAGTCAAGGGGCAGGCGGCGTGGCAGACATTGTCTTCAACGCCATGGTGCGCTCCTGCTTTCCCAACGGAGTATGCTGGCGCAGCCGCAAGAACAACCCGGTGAACAAATGGTATTTCGAACGGTCTTTGGGTACTTGGAAGCTATCCGACACCAATTGGACTATGTTTTGGACCACCCCTGGCCTGGTGGAAGATTCGCAGAAGTTTCGGGATTACGAAGCTGTATGCCGCAGCATTCAACCAAGCTGGGCCGACGACACCGGCGTGGTTGATTGATTGGACTCCGCTTGACATTTTCTTGCATATATTCATTTCTATTAGATATATCCTTCATAGAGTACATAGAGGTGCGAGGAATTGAATTGTTGATAGACCGGCAATGCTATGAACAGAAACTCACCGCCTTCGGCGATTGCCATGGCTTGTCTCCGTCCACCACCGCAGCAGTTGTAACCTGCTCCATGATCTCTTCTTCTCTCGACAAACCATGGATCAAGCTATAACCATGAATCAATGACACGATGCCCATCTGCATCGAATGCTCTTACCCCGTCTCGCATCTGTATAGCACTTACAGCCGCGCCGACGACCGCTCTTTGGGCAAGGGTGTGCGTCTGACGCAATGTCCACGGTGCAAGCGCTTTGCGGACAAATATGTGGAACATGATTTTGTGGTGCTCTTTATAGATCTAGTTCTGATCAAACCTCAGGTATTTGGTTGATTCTACTTTTGCTGGTGTACACGATGACTTAATGGCCAAGGTCTACCGACACCTACTCTTCAACCGACTAGGGGGTAACAATGATCAATTCGATGTACGGACCAACCTTCTACTTCTTGGATCACTGCTGATTTTGCTTATTTATAGCGCTCAATCATCCGTCTGGGAATTCTTCTCCTTCTGTTCGATGTATACCTCACCTGGGCGAGGATCGAGAGGTCCCCACACTCGCAGCGTCCTGGCTTGCCCGCACACCCATCATCGTGCAATACCTCTTCTTTCTAAGCTTGAACGCCGTCGCAACTCTTGCGCATCATCTCACGGTTAGGCTGCTTGCCTCTGTGCTCTCACCAACACCGTATGGCAGCAGCAGCACCACCCACACAAGCGGAGCCGAAGGGCCTGTCCTTTCGAATCCCTCCACCCCCGTCTTCCCCTCGTTCTCGTCCCAGTCCCAGTCGGTTACACCGTCAGGGCAACAGTCACCCACCGCCGGAATGGCAATGAGCCCGACGAGACTTACACCTCACGGTTCCTCCCTGGACGTCTCACTCGCGGCCAGTTCTGCTGCGCTGGGCACCTCGGCGTCCACCACCAATTTCGGTACTGACCAACATCACCACAACCCCGCGTCTACACCGCAGGGATCGTTCCCCTTCCCTCCTCCGCCGCCTCTGCGCCGTGCGTCCACCGCGCCCGCGCAGAGCATCCAGCCTTTGCCGCCGCCATCCCCGGCGAGCCCCACAGCCATTAGCACCGCCCTGCTCGTCAGCAGCTGCGCGAAACTCTTTCCAATCCTTCTCGTCATCTGGGGTCCCGACGGAAGCGGCAGCTCGTCTACACCCGTCGAGCAGGACAACGCAAGCGCCGGCGGGATGACACATTCCACCCTGACGCAGCGGATGTTGAGTAGATACACCCCGACCGCAAGCGCAGCCGCTCCCGGCGCGACGGGACTCGTGTCCTCGGTATCGTCGTCCCTGCTCGACAAACTGGTCTCCAGCCTTGCCTGGTTGATTCCGGCATCGGTGCCAACGAGCTATCTGACGAATTGTGCCGAGTTGGTCGGCTCGCTCTTCTCGCTTGGGGCAGCGGACACGCACCTCGGGCTGTTGAGTAACGTCGAAGCGCTGTATATCCTGCTCGGGTGCGGTTATCTGCGCGCGGTGGCCTTGGCGGTGGCCGGCCTGCTGGCGCGGTGGATGGTGCAGAGGGTGATTCTGGGTGCCGTGGGCATCGGCTAATCCAGTCTACCATTTCAGTCGCCATATCTCAAACTCATGATACCTCAAATCTGAAATTAATCTCTAGAAAAAAGCGCTAAAGCAACCAGCCGTGTAACCAGTCGAGTAATTTGTGCCCCGCATATAAAAACATAGGCCACTATACAGCCACTCCCTCCCAGTGCCCTCCGCCCCAGTCACTCAATCAACCCCCCACCACCAACAATCAACCAACTGGTAGAACTAATGCGGTACGCGATCAGGCCGAATATCCGCCCTCTTCGGCACAATAAGCGGATGCCACTGCGCAAGGAACGTAATAGCTACAGCACATCATCAGCCTTCTACCCCAAAATCACCCCAACAGGAAAAGAAAAAGAAATACATACCCCACATCAAATAACACGACGCAAGCGATAGGATCAATGTGCTTCGCCACAACCTGTCATATCATCATCATCATCAGTATCAACCCGTGCACGGAAACGAAACGGAAACGGAACGCAATGCAGCGTAAGGGAAAGAAAGAAAGAAAGAAAGGAAGCTCACGTCTGGTTCTCCCCCTTAGGACTAAAGATCCATGCTGCTAGGGCTGCAAGGACGACGACCACGAGGCCAATGATGAGACTCCATCTGTGTGTGCATGCTTGGTTAGTGTTTGGTTTGGTTTGGGAGGCGAGGAGGGGTGTGGGTGTAGGCGACGGACCCGTTTGCCATGGTTCTGGTTGTGGTGGTGACTTCAATAATGTTCTGGTCGAGGGCTCGGATTGATATGTTTGATAGACTGCGGGGTGTACAGGACCAGCCTGATACGTTGAATATTCGAATCGAGTTCGTACGGGGATGGAGTTGGGAAGTTGTGTCTGTCGGAGAATGAGGCAGCGGAGCTGTGAGATGAGCTAGAGGTTCGGAGTACGGATAGAGGTATCCTGTTGGTGACGTGCGTATGGGTCTTGAGGTTCGGTAGCTGAAGACAAGCTGGTTTAAAGTAGCGTCATGCACGATTGGTTCAGGCACGGCTGTGGAACGCAACGGGTTGATAGAGGCAAGGCTTTAGATTGCTTCTCTTCTTTGGAGGGTCGGCGGGAGCTCTTGAGGTTCTCCATACTCCGTGCTTCGTTGGTGTCTTTGCAGCCTGAGGGCTAAGGCATCAATGCGGAACCGTCTTGGCAACGTTGGACCAGCATCTGTGGCGGTGCTGTGATGCTCATGTCTACGAGAGAGATAGATATACAGTTACAACGATTGTAAGTAAGATAGACGCAATAATGATGACCAGCAGTCTACATTTGCGGAAAAGATATATGGATATAAGTCTGTCGCAGAAACAGTCGCGTTTATCACAATGTGGCTGACGAGAAGGAGACAAAAACTAAAAGAAGAGAACAACACGCCCAGGCGCAGTCTAAGCACCCTCACGGCTCTTACGGTAGCTAGCCTGATGATCAATTAGAACGGGTTTGGACGCGACCAAAGCAAGCTTGGGATGACATACCTCTTGCTCAACCTGCAATCCGTCCACTACAGGAGCCAGCTCACTGAGAATCTCGTAGGCTCTCTTGTGGAACTCGAGTTGCGCAGCAATCAAGTCTGCCAAGTTCCGCAGAGGCTCAGGGGTGTCAAGAACCTAGACCATGTCAGCGCGGGTGTACATCCACACAGACCCTGAACAAAACATACATTCTTCATCACACTCACGGCCTCCTCAGTCTGGCCGACAAATTCGTCTTCCGCCTGTTCAATCTCCGCACGCGCCTCCTCGCTCAGGTTGTCCAGATCACCGCCGGCAGCCGCCTTCCGCCTGGCCTTGATCGAGTCGAGCATGAGCCGGGCATTCTCCACGTTCTTGCGCGCCTTGGCCGCAAACATCAGGTTGGTGTTCAGGGTAGTGTTCCAACCAGCCAGGAAGCGCGACTGGATCTGAGCGTCCTGCGCCAGACGGGCCTCGCCCACCTTCTCCGAAGCGAGCGCGTACTTCTCGAGCGCGGTCGCCAGCGGGTCCTCGCCGGGGTGGACCTGTGCCAGGGTCTGGGATCCAGCAAGAGAGGCGCGCGCGATGGCATGGTTAAAGGTCTTGGGCTGGGGTTTGGCCGATGGAGGGGCGACCAGGGCCGCCTGCGCCTCGGCGGGGGACGCGGCCTGCGACAGGAGCTGGACCTTTTCGCTGATGGTGCGGCCTAGGTCATTGAAGGACTCGCGGATGTTGGGAGGGTAGTCGTAGGCCTCGTTGGAGTACTGGGAGCTGTACAAGAGGAAAGGTTATTCATCATGTGTAGAGTCAACCGGGGGGGGGGGGCACATATTGACACCTACGTCACTTGGAGGAGCTTCTGGTGTACCAGCTTCAGCGCATCAACGCGCTTCTCGAGCTCGATGTATTCATCAGGGAGCTGCGTCTTGTCTTCAGCCTGACCCAACTGCTCCTTGATCAACTGCTGCGTGCGCGCAGCAAAGGGGGTGAAGCTCGCGCTGTTGAGAGAAAATGACACCGTCATGTTAGCATCGCATGCTATGTTAGGCAGATACGCAGAATAACCCCATGACAGGAGGTTTCCAATCATCTCATCTTACCTGAGGTTCTTTCCGAAAGCTTGGAACTTGTCCATGGTGGCAGATTAATTCGTGGACCGATGAATACAACCGATGTAAGCACAGCCTCGAGTACTGGCAGATTGAGAATCAACTTATTTGCTGCAAATTGGTTTGTTTGGGGGATGACCGTGCGGGATGTCTGACATCGCCCGTGCTGCTCGACACCGCCTCGATTCGCTCGCACCGCCACTATTTGATCCTTGTCAACAATAATCCCTCAATACCCTAAGGTACTCCACGTCGCTACAAGGGTACTGAACCTCCATCTAGAGGCTGCTAAGTCTGAATCACTTTCTTATGGATCGGGAAATCCGGATTACCACTCTGGTTTATCTATTGCTGTTAACTGCCGACATGCCCATATATATAATCATGATAAAGCAAACATATAAATTGCACGAGGTCGCACATATGCAACAATCAAACGCAGGGGGTCGTATATTAATCAGCAAATTTATCTTCAATAAGAGATAAACATCGTCAATCGCCTCGCCAGCATTGCCAGAAAATAAAAATATTGCTCCAAGGAAAAGGATTACATCCATAATGATACAGGAACGAAGAAGCAAGAGACCCGAAAATGAATAAACAAGGTGTTAGTCGTGATGAAGTCGGATGAAGTCGCATAAAAGTCATCCTTCAGGTTAGGGTTGCCATCATGGCGCGGAGAATTCGGGGATTGGGGCCTATACAAAGTCTCAGAAATCTTTCCAGCAATGCTTCGCAGGAACACGGCCAACATACCTCTGCGGTCTTTCCTCACCTCGGTAATCTCCTCGACCTCACCACTGGGAAGGGCGAGCTGGGTGTCACGGATCATTTCGTCTCGTTCGCTGATCTCCAATCGTCTGAGCTCGCGAAGATCCTCATCGCTGTCTCGAGGGCGCACGACGATGGCAAGAGGACCGGTATCGCTCCTGTCAAAATCGACGTGATCATCATATCGCTCCACCAGCCGTACTGGAGAGGAGAGTCCGCGACGGCGCCCATGGACTGATATTGATCGTGTACGGGAGACAGCCCTCGTCACTCGCTTCTCGCTGAGCTCGTAATGGCGCGACGGAGATCGGTGGCGGGAGGGCGATCTTTCGATGATCCATGTCTCTTGGGTGGCTCGGGGAGAGATGGCCTCCATCGTAAGTCGCTCAACAGTTCTCTCTCTTGGCCGCGCACGAATCGGCGATGGTGACCGGCGAGTATATATGGTCCGAGCTGGCACAAGAGTTAGCGAACATTACTTCACAATGGAGCACGTGGCTACTGACTTTCTGTCTGGCGCCTGATCTCCCGACTCAGGCTGATGACTTCGTCGATCTGCTCTTTCGAAAGAGCCAACTGGATCGTGATTCGGTCCTCCTACAAAGTGTTAGCACCGACAAATCCCTCCTCGTGCGATTCGTATGTCATCCACGTACCTCTTCCTCATACGGATATCCCAACTTCTTGATCGCAAGTGTGTGCACCAGTCTTCGAGGCATGCGAGTCTTGCCCTTGCGGGGATACGGCTTCTCGTATCCAATCTCTTCAACTAGTTCCTCGCGAACGCGACCGGTCGACCGGCGCGGATGAGCCGCGTACCGATCTCGCTCCTGGAGGATTCGGAACTCCTCGTCGCCGTAGTAATCTGGCTCTGCGATGCGAATGTCTTCGTAATACTCAGTCTCTCTGTGTCTGCGGGAGGGACGTCTCCGGGGAATGGAAGGCGCACGCGGCTCGCGAGGCAGATGCCCGCGGACGTAGTATTCATCTAGCTTGCGCGAGGGGATGCGGTCAAACGTATCCAAGGAAGACTGGCGGCGCAGTAGGCGAGGGCGCGGGGGAGGGCTGTCACCGCGCGACCGTTCGTAGGTAACCAGTGGACCCGAGTTATGAACCAGATGGTCGTCCTCGTAAAATCTGTCCGACCGGCGGGCAGGAGGACCGTATCTGTCAACCTCGTGTAGACGGGATTCGAAGCGCTCTTCTTCGGACCGGGGCGGACGGTCGATGACAGGAGGCCGAGAGTAACGGCGCTCTCGAGTGCGCTCCATCCTCTCGGAGGAGGAGCGGTAGTCGTCGTACCGCGCCATGAATACCGTAGATTAGCTTCGACCGTGTGACCAGAGAACGGGTCGAAATATTCGTGGGTTGATGGTGGTCAACAGATCTCTGTATATGACCTGAGAGTGAACCGTGGGTGACGACAGCGGCTGACTCGGACGGCCCGCTGACAGCGGGGTAGGAAGAACCGTGGATAGAAGGGGGAATTTCAATCACAGCAAAGATCAGGAGGATAAAGGAGTGAGAGGAAGTCGGTGTTGAGGACAATAAATATGGAAGAAGAAGCCAGATATGGGAGAAAGTTTCGAGAGAACAAAGGAGGCCTCGAGTGATCCTTCAGCAGAGAACTGCCTTAGAGATGGGCCAAAGCCGATAAGCCCAAAATAATAATGAGTGGATGACGTCTGGTGTGGAGATACAAGGCGTTACCGTAATATTCCATCGTTCCCATACAGACTGCCTCGTGCCTTGGTAGGGCCAGTGTCACGATTGAATACCATACGCCTTATCGTAAGGTAGATCTATTTCTAGGCATCTCTCAGGAATCACTCTTTCTCTCGCCACGATTGCTACGCCTCCCTTCAGCTCCTTTCTGACATTGCGAACATTCTCATTTCCTCTAGAAATCCATAGCCTATAGCCTGACTTAGCCTAACCTATTCTGCTTGCCCCAGTTGTGAAAAGGAGAATCTCGTCGCTTATCTATTCCCCCCTGCAGAAGCTCCACTTGTGACCTGGGAACCTCGCTGCCCAATCCATACCAGCCACATGACTTCTTTCCTGACACATTCGAATTTATTCATAATTCTTTATGACCTGGGACCATGAAGCGCGAGCGTATCTATTACAATGAAGGAGGGAAAGGGGCATAAGGAAAGTGTCTCGAATACACTAGCACTGACAGGAAGGATATCTACTGCAGTTGGGCGATCTGAGTGGATGCATAGCAGGAATTGAATTCGGCCAAGTGGCTCCAAGCAGCAGCGGGCAGGATTTTTCTGCAATCGGTACGGGTATATAGCTCTTTTCCTGCAAGGGGACTGGCTGCCCGATGTCTGCTATGTGTTGGCCCGAACACATTTCTTGTGTACCTGCATCGCCTACCCCAGGGTAATGGTTTCGTTGTCATGCATGTATTATTGTTTGCAGACTCGAGGCAGCGAATCATTGCCTGTGCCACTGGAAAAATTTCATATTGCCCTCTTGCCCTTGTTCTGCAGGTCGGGATCGCCCCGATGAGGCACTGTGAAACCGTTTCGTGAACACGACTTCATTATGGGGCAACAGCCAATCTTCCTAGGTTCTTTACAGGCGCTGTGAAGTGTCCAGCGACGATGGTGTGTCGTCCAGATGGTCTTGCATTTCTAGAGCTTGAGTTCATGATCTCAAAGTGCCAAGTGCCTGAGGCATCTGTCGCGCAAATGCGACAATATTACCTGAACAGATTGGGGACGCAACCACCTGGTAATCTTATCACGTCTCAGCTTAGCGGAAATTATAGTATATAGTTCTGTGATGTCGAAGGCGTGTTTCTGTTTATGAGAAGCCTGTAAAGATTCAGACTCGAGTCACGCTCACGGTTCCGCGAGTGTTGACGCTGGAGCTAGAAAGCTCGCAGTCTTCCTGGGTATACGCTTGACGTAAAGAAGTAGTTCGGCACTGAAGAATATCTGTTATCTCCGGTCGTCTGTTTCCAACTTCAGAACATCGTCTTCCAGGCTCAGGAGCCCCATTGCCCAGTGAACATGCATCGATTTACTAATAGTAACGAGTCTCCTCTCTGTGTTGCCACCTGCATGGTGTTCTTCATTAACGCCTTCCTCGGGTGACGGGTCCGGCTCTGGTCGTTTGCGGAGACTCTCTTGCGTACGTTCATATGGAGGGCCGCGCCCCTGCTTTGCGGCGACAGCCCATGCATTTTCGCAGCCAAGGGCTATAGCCTCAGACGATTTCCAGCCAGTCAAGCGCGAGACATCGCGTAGTTTCGAAATAGTCCAGCCGCGTTGGGCAGCGTCAACAAACTGAACGGCTGCAAAGAAAATAGGCACAGTCATCTCAATCAAGCAGGCCCCCAAGGTAGGGCTCAATTTCCCCGCCTCCACGTTGAACCACTGGGGGAAATATATACCGGCGGCCATCTTTCCGATAACCTGAGCGTAATCAGCAGTCGTAGGCGCTGCCACTCCTGCAGCGACCATCATAGCAGGTGGCATTGACGGGTGCAGTCTGTGTAATAGAACTCGACCTGCATAGTAGAATCCCCACACCACCGCAACCGTATGCGTGCGGTACTGCAGCGCTGGCCCGAATGGGGTCGATATAGGAGGGATAGTGTCAGCTGGCAGAGGAAGGAAATCAGGACCGAGGGCACCGGCGAAGGTATCAAAGGCAGCCCGAATATCTTCCCACTCGCTCTCTGCATCTTCATATGACATGACATCTCCCTCTTCATCCTGACCCGGCGACGGACTTCGATGTGCTGTGCCAGCAAACGCCGAAGGGAGGCGTGTCGGTCCTCTTGGTGGAACCATGCCATACATGGGAGGTGAATTTCCTCTCCCTGCATTGGGACCACCCACGGGCGACTGGCGGTTAGGTTCAGGCCCACGGTTCTGTACAGATCCCGGAGGAGGCCCTCTTGGTCCGTTCGCACCGCCCTTGGCAAAGCGAGACATGAATTTGTGAAGGCCCGGACCTGGTCTCCAGTCTTGGCCAGTGGTTTTAGCTACACGCAACTTTCGTTTTCTGTCACGGTAACCGAAATCAGTGAGCCGGGCGAGCAGCAGCCATAGATGGTCCGCTGAGCCATAGACAGCATCCAATCGACCAATACCGGCGCGCGGTGGGCACTGGCCCCAACGGGAAAAAGGTAATCTAGCTGACGATGAGCATGTTAAAAGGCCAATGATCAAAAGAGGACAGTCACTAACATAAGTCCGCCGCCCCCGATGAAAGCCTGGATCATGTCTTGTTTGCAGTACCACCAGTAGAGATCACATTGGATTCTGTAGGTCTCAATGTCTTTCCGGGTAAAGTGTCTTTCGCGCGAACGAATACGCCCATCCTCAATCTGGCCAAACTGGTCATAATTGACCGCCCGACCCAGAAGAGCTCCTATGAACTTCTCATCAATGCTGCTTTCTTTCTCAGCAAATGGGTCATCCTCCAAAAATCCTTCGTCGAAGGCATAGTAAGCCGCATAAGCCGATTGGTCTTCCAACATTCGCTGCTGTTGAGCCCACACCCTCCGCCGGTGAGATCGAATATCACGTGTGAGAGTGGCGAAATCAATCTCGCGTACCAACTGGGCCGATCCTGCGACATGGCTGTTCCACTTCGAATGCTCGGCAGTCATCACTTCATAATATGCCAACAGGAGTGTAGCAGCCAGGGTGCCAACCTGTTTGCGCCTTTGGGGCAGACCTACCGCATGACCGACTCTCTTGAGCGCATAATGATAGTGCTTCAACGAAACAGTCGGGGGCGCTTGTTGCAGATACGAGATATGTAAGCTGCTGAGAGCAAGTATGGCTTGAAGCAATGCTTGGTGCTCTAATGCCTTGAGAGGCATTGTATGTGTCCACAGGCCTTGCTGAGCTGCTGGCACTGGTGAGCCAAGCGTGTGTGCAGAATCCGCAGGATGTCGCTCGAAGATTGATAAAGACGGGCCAGTTGAATGGATAAAGTGGACGAAGATTCGAGCTGTCTTTGGGTTATTCAAGGGAGACGAGCCAAGCGTAGGGCGATAAGAAGCAAGCATGTTGGGTTCGTTCAGATAGGTCGTGAAAGACCGCAGCTGCCGTTCATCTTGATTTGCAGAGGCCACAATGAGGCTGAGTTGGTTGAAGTCTTCGGCCGATGTTTGTTCTTCCATTTCTTCATCAGATTCAACATCATAGTATTCTTCACTTTCGTCATCCACGTAGGTGAGTTCGTTTGAAGATGTCATCAGCGGGATGGCTGTAGGTTCATGCACTGATTGTTCTTCCTGTCTCGTACCTGAAGCGAACGCGGTTGTGGTTGCTGGCCCAGCTTGATACAACTTCTGGTACAATGTTTAGTACAGTGACGAGCCAGATAAGATGTGGTCTCATACCTGAGGAATTTGTGCAGTTACAAATGCTAAGGTAGGGTCCATCGACGTCCCTTGCGGATTCATGACCGGCACTGGAGCTTCAGGCCACGGTGAAGCCTGCTGAGGCGGAAACCTCTGATCTGCTGCTGGAACGATATTGTACGTCGGCGCGCCCATTCCATGTCGCGAATGGTCTTGACTTTGTATATCCAGCTGGTGCTGCGGGAAGTCAAACGGCAATGTTGGAGCCCCTACAGTTCCGGGTGCGCTGGGACCGGAGACAAGAGGTGCTTCATACTGCTGCGGTCGAGGTCGCAACGTATCCATATAAGTTTCTTGTACTCCTGCACTACCAGTTGCGTTAAAAGTAGGCTGTCTCGTGGCTGCTAGTGGGAACGGCCGCGGCGCCAACAACGGCCTGTTGGAGCCAGCCTGTCTCAGCTGAGAGAGCTCCTGATCATAATATCCAGTTGGAAGCGGGGCTCCCGAGGATGTTGGCTGCATCGGGGCATTGAGAGCTTGGTTAGTGTTATACGCTCCGAATATGCCGATGGGATTTTTGAAGATGACACGCTGAATATAGCCCTTGCATTCTCGTTTTGATTTGACACAATTGTTGCATATGGGCTTCTCTTCTCCGCATTTAATGCGGCGTTGTCGACAAGCTATATTTCAACGGTCAATGACTGTTGTAATCCTTGCCACCATCATCTTGTTTTGAACATACTAAGACACCCTGTTTTGGTGCGTTTCTTGGGGAACTTCTGTGCAGACGCGCTCTTCGGTTCAGTTTCCGCCTCTGGTTCTGCAGCCGCAGCTGGTATATCTGCGACCCGATTTGTGTCTGAATCATTGGTCAATGGCTCCCGTTGAGGGCCCTCGAAAGCTGCTGTCTCCCCCATAACGATATACTTGGTGTCGAGGTGAGGCTGTTTCCATAACCGAGAGGCAGCGTGGGCCGATGAGGTTGAGAAACTGATTTAGGGAATAGGAAAAAGGGATAGAAGAGAGGAGATACCTCTAAGACGAGTCCCTGGGGGCCCAACAGTTTGCATGAGTGGGGAGATGCAGTTCCACTAACTAGAGGCAGCACTGGAGTGGTAGCACAAAATGATACAGCCCTCAATTGGCCCGAAACCGTCGGCCAGATTTTCCAGGCTTCTCCACTGGAGTTTATTTACTATTTAGTCTCTTAGGTTCCGCGGCTCCCGCAGTGTTGAAGTTTTGAGGCGTGGACAGTTCGAATAGTAATAATCATGCTTTCTTTTCAGCAAGGCAGGTCATAAGGCCCAAAAATTGCCAAAATATGCGAGTGACTTGAGGTGGTGCCTATTGATCAAATTGAAATCGGTGGTTACACTCACTGCCTTGTTAGGCCTTAGGTTAGTCATCCAGTCTGCAGATATGGTCACTGCTGACAAGGGTGTTCGATCGCTTTACTTGGCAATCATGCGCCTGGAACTGAGATATATTGCATCTTCTAGTTGGGTTCTGGCGTAAAGATCATGAGCAAGGGATTTGAGCACTCTTGGTTGCACGACCAGTACGAATCTTTCGTGATCCCAGAATAAGATAAGAGACCGAGGCTCGGACTTACGTATTCTCTGTGACGTAGGAAGTCACTAATCCCAGGTCTCTTCCCTGTTATGATGAATCAAAAAAGAAACGGAGGAATGAGCCGATCTACTCCGTAGACTGCTCTCGACCAAGAACAAGCTTAAAAATAGCTTGATTCTGACACTCTTGCTGTCTGCTGATCTGGGAGGGGCCGGGCGCGGAGAACTCAAGGCTGACCTGACCGCCTTTAGCTCGGACCAGCAGAAATACTGGTCGCTTCTCACCGCCAACGATATTTTTTCCTTTTTGTGTAGAGAGGTAGAGGCTGGACGCTAGCCTTGAAAAACGACGCTGGCAGAAGAAATTGCTTAGCTTGCTCTCGCATACGGTTCTGAGTCGGCACAGAATCAATACTCCTAGATTTATCGACAGATATCTTACTTTGCGCTGATATCGTAAACTGGCTCATGCAATCATGTTTGCCGTCCCAGGATGGTCCGTTCCGAGCTCTGCTCTGAAGCAGCAGGAGCCTGCATCGCAATCTCAAAACCAGTCTCAACAGACCAATGGATCGCCGAAAGCAGGTGCTAAATCCAACAAGCGCAAGCGCGGCAATGACCATGTTACCAAAGCAAATGTTGACGAAATGTACCGTCGACATATCGAAGGTCAGAAGGGCACCCCGAAATCCCGGAAGCAGGGTGCAAACAATGCTGTGCAGCCTAGCAAGAAACAAAAAAAGGAGCATAAGCCAGGCAATGAAGCATCTTCTACGTCAGGAAATCAGAAGAATCAGATGAGGAAAGACGCCCACAAGGACAAAGAGGATACATCGAGCGGTGCTCAGGATGTCGGGAATAAGGCAGATAAGAAGGAAAAGAAGCAGAAGGATAAGAACAAGAATCAGACCAAGGAACAACAGCAAGAGCCCAAAGAACAGAAGCAAGCCGCTTCTTCTGCCGGCGAACCCGTTATTCCTCCTGCTCCGCCGAAAACAGAAGCGATTCTTACACCGCTTCAGCAGGCTATGCGGCAGAAGTTGATATCTTCCCGTTTCCGTCATCTGAACGAGACGCTGTATACAACACCCTCTTCCAAGGCCCTTGAACTGTTCACCTCCAACCCCGAGCTCTTCGATGAGTACCATGCGGGATTCTCTCGCCAGGTCAAAGAGTCGTGGCCTTCCAACCCTGTCGATGGCTACATTTCGGCTATCCGCAAGAGAGGAGGCGTGTCGTCAGGTTCTAAGAAGGGCAACAGACCTGACAACAAGAAGAACGCACAGGTTCCGCCGCTTCCTCGGAGACCTAATGGCCTCTGCACAATTGCAGATCTGGGCTGCGGTGATGCCCAGCTCGCGCAGGCTTTGACACCCTCAGCGCAGAAATTGAACCTGAAGTTGCTCAACTTTGACTTGCATGCTCCACAAGGTTCACTCATCACCAAAGCAGATATATCTAATTTGCCCATTGCCGACGGATCCGTGGATGTGGCTATTTTCTGTCTTAGCTTGATGGGCACCAACTGGGTGTCTTTCGTGGAAGAAGCGTGGCGGGTGCTTCGCAGCGATGGCAAGGGCGAATGCTGGGTCAGTGAGGTCAAGAGCCGCTTTGGCAAGGTCGTCCGCAAGAAAGCCCAGATTGGTGCACGCAAACCGCTTAGCAAGTCCGAGAAGAAAAAGCTCAAGAAGAAGCAAGCGGGTGAGGACGATGCTGGCTCTGATGTGGACGACGCCGATATCTATGCAGAAGACGCTCGTAAGGCCGATGATGACGAAACTGATATCTCGGCCTTCATTGAGGTGTTCCGCACGCGTGGCTTCATTCTCAAACCTGAATCGGTTGACAAGTCGAACAAAATGTTTGTGAAGATGGAATTTGTTAAACAAGGTGGTGCCCCGATTAAGGGCAAATATGCCTCTGTCGCTGCAGCAGGAGGACCCGGCAAGAAAAGATTCATCGACAAAGCGACTGATGTCGGCGCTGGCCTGTCTCCCGAGGAAGAGGCACGTGTCCTCAAGCCTTGTGTCTATAAAATTCGGTAAGAGACATGCATATTTACATGTGTATTTAGCCATCAATAGCTGTATATACTACAAATACCATCTAGCTAATCCCCTGCATAACGATGAAAACTCATTGTACAGACTGCAAAGTTACGGCAAACAGAGTCAGGTTTCGCAGAATGTTTATGTCATTGCTCTTCTATCAGATGTCAAACAGACACCGGTCCACGGCGGACGTCGTAAGTTTTCCTGATATATGTAGGCGGAATCTCAACATACGTCCATTAAATCCTTACTCATTGATTACCGCCCAATTGCGCAACAGCCCGGCCCATCTCCTCGTCATTGTAGATATGAAAGCCCTTCTCTTTAGTAACGCTAGCCAGCTGGACATTCTTCGCATCCAACTTCTCCTCCATGACCTGTTTCAGCGTTTTCAATACCAGTGTCTCGGCCTCGGGCAGTGTCAAGGAACGATGGTATTCATTCTGTAATTCCGCCTGCGCACCTTCGCTTCCGGACCCGATGGCCTTTGCATCATATCTGTAAAATGTGCCGGATGGCTCGGCGTGATACCTGAAGCGTAAACTCAGATTAGTACAATTCAACGACAGAACCGGCCAACAGGCGGCTTAGAGCATATGACTGTGTGATGCTGGGAATGTTCAACGTACAGTTGCGGCCCATCCTCATCATAACCCGCGATTAATAGGGCAACACCAAAAGGCCTGCTCATGACACTTTCATCATCATCACCGGTCTCGCCGAATCGCAGTGCAAGGTCGCAGATCGCCTGGGTCGTGCTCTCTACTCTCAGAGGCTCTGCATAGTGAAAGGCATGGTTCTGGCATTCAACGCGGGCGTGCTCGACCAGGGACCGGGCATCGGCCTGCAAACCGGACATGGCACATCCGATGTGCTGATCAATTTCGACAATCTTTTCGACGGACGACGCTTCGAGAAGCGTAGATGTGACACGCTTCTCCACTCCTAGAATGACACCTTCCGAGGTAGCTACCTGAAGGGAAGTTAGGGACAGGCCAAACTGATTCTTCCATCTCCGCCAGTAAAAGCAAAAGCAATTCAAATTAAGAGGGCCTTTAGTGAGGGATGAACGTACACCGATCGCTGTCGATCCCAGTTTGATAGCTTCAAGCGAGTATTCGACCTGGAACAGACGCCCTTCGGGGGAGAAGGTGCTGTGATAATTTGGATCATCAGAACTGGGAATCATGGCAAGGAGCTAACAGAGGAGACTTCGGGTTCGTACTTGATTCCACGGTCTATTGGCAGAGCTGGCGTTAGCTGACCGCATCGGAGAGGAGGTTGCTATAGAGCTTACCATATTCCGATCGCGCGATGAACATCTTGGATTATCTCCGCAGTAGGAAGTAAGAAAAGAGGCTTCAGCGAGGAGAGGTTCAATATAGAAGCGAATCCAGAAGAGGGACGAGATTAAGAATGACGGCAAGTGGTTGGTGAGGTGGGTGGAAGCTGTGTCTTGGAGCTCGGGTGAAGCTCTCAAACAACTACGCAAGTCGACGGAGCCTGGCAAAGAGTTGACGGAGGCCTCAGGCTGCAAGGCATCATTTGCGCCTGATACGTTAACTCCGCTGCCTTACCGGATCAGGAAATGTAAACTGCGGTACGGTACATGCTTGGCGGGCAGCAACTGGGTCTGTCCTTGTTTATCATTGCTCTTCTCAATCAACAGTTCAATTGCCTTGGCTTCAATCTGTTCTGATCTGATTCCGCCACATGGTTGACACCATATCCTCTGTCTCGCGGGATCATGTCCGTCAATGAGCGTCGCGCCAGTCAAATGGGTGCATCACGGCCCCGCGTAGCATCAAATCGCGTCGACGCCGAGAAAGCTGCTTTGCGCGCTGCTGCGTCTCCATTACAATCGGAAAATATGGATCAGCTTCGTGACAGTGCGTCCAGTCAAAAGAGCAGAGCTTCCCGAGATCAACAGAACATCACCACTAGCGAAAAGCGCACCGAAAGGACAACGATCAACACGAGAGAAAAGGTTCAAATGCGCACACGGAACCCAGTTAAAGAGTCGGCAAGCGCGGGAAATAGAGGAGATTGGGAAAAGTTACGGATGAAGAGAGCTAATCAGACAGATGGTGCGACTTCTGGTAATGCCCGGAAGAAGGAGAAAGAGCCGGCGGAGCGTTAGTAGAGAGAGATCAGTTGCGCGCATTCCGACCATTGCTGACTATGAGACAACAGAATCTTGGATGCCGCAAGCCTCGTTGATTCCCCATTCGACCGCACCTTTAGCCAGTCGTGTATCCGTACCTCCTCTTGCCTCTGCATTGCCGCAACCGCTTCATCCCACACCGCTTCGCGAACTTAACACCGACGCGCAGGAAGCAGTGATCTTGGAAGACCTACTGTTTGTGTTCATGGGATTCGAAGGCCAATATATCCATTACCATCATACGTTTGACCCGACGGCGGAGAAAGACCGTTTGGCTGGTCCAGCTTTTCAACTGCCGTCCGGGCTGGACCCGACGCTGAGAGACCTGACTTCTTCCATGCTGAAGATGGCGACGCATTACAGTGCATTGGAGTCATTCGTGGAAGTACAGAGTCGTGCTGAATATGGAGCCGTTAACCATGCGTTGTGCGCCACGATTCGACGGATATTAAAGGACTATCTAATCCTCATCGCTCAACTTGAGACACAACTGCTGAACCACTCGAATTTTACACTACATATGCTGCATTTACACACCATGCCAACAAGCCAATGCTTGTCTCAACTATACTCTCTCGGACAAGAACTCTTGAGACGCAATGGACTGTTAGATCAGGATATCGATGAGTCAATCGACGACTTCGACGACGTCGACAATATTCTAGAGCAGTTGAAAGAAGGAGGAGACCTCATCCCGGGGGCCATGTCAAACAAGAAGATATGCAAAGGAGGCAATGTCCTTCGACTGCTCACCGAGCGGTTGGCCACGTTCTCCGGCGACCCAACCACGAAGACTCTTCTGGAGAAGCTGCTCCGCGACGCCAGTCGGCCGTACATGGCGATGCTTAATGAGTGGCTGCACCACGGAGACATCAAAGATCCTCACGCGGAGTTCCTTGTCAAAGAGCAGAAGTGGATCAAGCGAGAAAAGCTGGAAGAAGACTACACAGACGAGTACTGGGAGAAACGATATACTATTCGCGATAACGAAGTGCCTCCCCAGCTTGAAGGTGTCAAAGATAAGGTGCTCCTGGCCGGAAAGTACCTCAATGTTGTGCGAGAATGTGGTGGTGTTGACATTAGCCAAAAAGTCACGGACGTTCCTCATACCCTAGATGATCCCCGGTTCCTAGACAACGTCAATGCAGCCTACACCTATGCCAATGCATCTCTGCTGAACCTCCTTCTCACTAAGAACTCGCTCACGACACGCTTCCGGTCTCTCAAGCACTACTTCTTTCTGGATCGCTCCGACTTCTTCTCCTACTTTCTTGAGCTCGGCTCGTCAGAGCTACGCAAACCAGCCAAAAGCGTTAATGAGAACAAGCTTCAATCGCTGCTTGATTTAGTACTACGTCAACCCGGCAGCATTGCAGCTTCTGATCCCTTCAAGGAGGACGTCAAAGTGCGGATGAACAAGATCGGGCTAACAAAATGGCTGATGCAAGTGGTGAGCGTCTCCGGCATCGACCAAGACAACCCCGAGGCGGTTCTCGAGAGATACCAGGCTCCTCAAACACAAGGTGGAGAGGACGACAAGGATATTGTTGGTTTCGATGCACTGGAACTCGATTACTCCGTCCCCTTCCCGCTGTCACTCGTCATAAGCCGCAAGACTGTCCTTCGATATCAACTGATATTCCGACACCTCCTCTCGCTGCGCCACCTCGAGACTCTGCTAACTACATCCTGGTTAGATCAGAACAAGGTTATTGGCTGGCGGCACAAGTCTTCTGACCGCAGACTGGAGATGTGGAAGAGGCGCGCATGGAGTCTCCGCTCCAAGATGCTTGTATTTGTCCAGCAGCTGCTGTACTTTTGCACAGCAGAGGTCGTCGAGCCGAACTGGCAGAACCTGATGGATAGAGTCAACGGCACTGATGCTGATGGGTCGGAAGTGACGATCAATGGCACCAAGCAAGTTAATCGGACGGTGGATGAGCTTATGCAGGACCACGTGGATTTTCTGGACACATGCCTTAAGGAATGCATGCTGACCCAGGCCAAGCTGCTGAAGGTCTGACCCATACTGTGTCTTAATTGAAACGCTGCTAACTTACTTTCGGAACCAGATCCATTCGAAGCTGATGACCTGTTGCACTATGTTTGCGTCCTGGACCGCTTCCTCCCTTGCACGAGCTTTGGCTTCTGCTGACGTGGACTTGTCCGGGAACAAGGCGTCTAATTCCGATGGTAGAGGCTATGACCCGACGCGGATTGGCAAATTAGAGGACACCTTGAAACGATACGAGGACCATTTCAACCGTCATCTGCGCATCCTAATGGACAGGTACGGAAACGGCTCAGAATACAGATCTTGAATTTTTCTCGCCAATGAATGCTGATTATCCTTGGCTATAGCTTGAACTACTTTGCTGCGACGGAAAGCGTTGTCCTTCTCAAATTGGCCCACGCTTTGAGCTCAATCAGCAAAGATGATTGAACGTCCCACCGCTGATGTACTTGACCAACCACGCTATATACCACACAACCAGACAACTGCAGCGTGCTCGAAGACACTGTGGATGATTAACACTTGCGACATGCGAGATCATCATCTTTGTAATCATTGAATGATATCCGTCAGTGCTCAGCAGGCGCGATACAGCTTCTTCTATTTGAAGAGCACCTTTTGCGCAGACAAATCTAACACTGGGCCCCAATCCCAGTTCGTGTCTGCTGTGTTAGCAAGCTAGGATGACTTTCGGCCGATGACTCCAAGAGAATAGTTCGGAATCTCGCCGCTCGCAAATTCTGTTCTCTTGCAGGTTTACAGATACGACGGCTTCACGAAGATGACTACTTCGTAAACGCAAACATCATGATGACATATGGTTGGAAATGGAAGCGAATGAACAACATGAACATGAAATTCGATTTAGATACCCTGATGCATGTTTAGTCTGGCTTCCAAACAAATACAATTGTTGAAACAAAGGTTTCTCATGCTTAAACACGACATTCTATCTGCTCTTAAATTTGTATAATCCTTTCCCTGACTCCTGGCTGCAATTAACAGTTCCTTACAACGTACTCCAACGAGAACCGACTGTTAATCAAGTTCCCGTCGGGAAAACGGAAACTTGCTGCATTTCTTGCTACAGACAACGCAGGTCGTAGGATAAGTAAGCAAATTAATAAACTTATCTATAGAAAAGGAAGCCGCATAACGAGCCACATCGGCAAGGAAAAATTAGCCCAATATACATGGTCACTCCAGCGCGATTATTACTTCGATCGAAGAAGGGATTAACAGTCAAGTATCTCTCGCATATGTGCTCTTCTCGCGCAATCGTTCACCATAAAACCATAGGAATAGTGGTGAGGGTATTCCAATGAAGATTGCAACGAATGCCAGTAGACTGTTACCCCAGGCAAACCCGAGGGTAGTATATCTTTCATAGTCAATAGAGTTCTTTACAAGTCGTAGGGGGCGGGGCGGTGGAGAGAACCTACAGACTGGGGCTATCAAGGGCAATGCAAACCCTAACAGACTTCGTAGAACCATGACGGCGGCCATGGCACTTGCGGCAAAAAGCTGGTATGTGTCAATGAGATAGCCTTGGACGCAAACCAACTGTACAACGGTAGAACCGGCGTAAATGGCGGCACCGATGTTTCTTCTCGGGGTCAGCGATATCCTCCTTCGGTAGATTAATCATGCAAGGGAACACTTACGGCATGATCCAGTGAATGCCCGGCCGGGCACTCCAACCGTACCAGAAGAGTCCGATGGGGACAATGCATGCTCCTGCACAGAGAATCGGTAACCGGAATTCAGGCCGAGCCACCCCTTCATTATTAGCACGCAGTCGTTGGTAAACGCGGTCGGCGATCCGAGTCCCCAGCTGCGTTGCGATAGCCATTCCAACCGTTAGAGAAATATAGTTCAGCGATCCAATCGATTCCGATTCATGATAGATCGTCGTCCAGACGTCCGGGAACGTAGCAACCATCAGGTATAAGATGCCGTTGAGATATGCCAGATACAGACTCAGTACCTGGATGATGGGCTGCGTGGCCAGCAAACGGAATGGTCGGACCAAGTTCTTGTGCAGCAAAGCGGTCGAGGACATGCCATCATATTCGGTGTAGAGGTTTATGTTTCCCGTCGTCTTCCGCATGCGAGCACATTTCCTTCGCAATAGAACAGGGCCGTATGTCTCACGAAGCAGGAAGAACGCGCCAAGCTGAACAACAGCGGCAGCAATTGAGACCACATAGAAGCACCACGGCCAGGACTCATACTGAACAAGGAAACCCCGGTGATGGGACCGATAGCCGTTCCTAGGAGGGGAGCCAGCGTGAATACTGCCATAGCCTTCCATCTGTCCTGGTCACTGTTCATACCGCTCCCTATCTACACAAAGCTCAGATTAGCAATAGTGACAAGAAACGCTTTAGAGATACATACTCCGAAAGGACCAGCGCCTCCTAACCCGGCCAGAAATCGATATGCAATGAGCTGGCTTTGCGTCTTGGCAATTCCGCAAAGAGTATTGAAGATGATATAGAAGATGTTGGCAGCGGAGAGGATCATGATATAGAAGATTCGCGTAAAATAAAAGGGTCTACGAGAAAATAATTTCCCGAATGATGCTAAACCAAGGTGGCCCCTATTTGTTCGACTCTCGGATATGCGATGCGTTAATGGCTTACTTGATTTCACGAAGAGTCAAGCAGACCTAAAAAGTTAAGGAGACAACGTAAGGTATCGACGGGCTCTCGAAGACATCCCAGTCGACCGAGTCTTGGGTGATTGGCGGCTAGACACCTATATAGCTCATCGCCTATCATTGTTAGTGTCTTCTCAAGCATAGGCGGGTGGGAGAGAAACACGGACGCTACAGATGCTTGTCTGAATGGGGCAGAGCGAAGCATTTTCTAACGGTGATTGGCATGCTTGGAAAAGGCGAGTCATGGATCCCTGTCTAGCCGTTTCGGCTGTGATTGAGGATCGATTGGAGGTTGCCGATGGTGCATCCTGGAGGCATCCACAACTTCCACATCCGGTCAGAAGCCAATATTGTCAATATCTGGATGCGCTATCGTCCATACAGAGGGGACAAGCCAGTATCGGGCGCTCCATTTCTCGATTTGATTCTTTTGTGGCGCAGGATAAGCACTAAAAAGTCCTCCCCCTGGCTTATCTCCCGGACATTTAATACATAAATTGACCAACGCCTCGAAAGTCCGGGGATTCTCTCCGGTTTCCCGCCAGACGCTCTTCCCCCCTCTTTCGAATCTACCATCTTCAATGCCATGCAGCTCTAGTTCGATTTGGAGGCTCACTACGACACAGATAATGGGGGATTTCTTGTCATTCAAGGGAACTTCCAGCGGGACAACTTCCTATGACAAGAGATTGACTTGCCTGAACTTTTGGACGACTCTCGTTACAGGTATGGGAGTTGGCCTTCGAATGATGGCCCCTCTCACAAGGAACTGAGCTAAGAACTTATTGGACACTCTTCGAGACGCCTTTGAAGATCTGGGCCCTGACAGCTTCGTGACGACTGCGAGCTTGCTTCCTTTTGAATCCTCTGCACCTTTGGACCCTATGTATCACAGCTCTTCCTTGTGCTCTTCCACAGAACGGAGAAGAGAGAACAGTCAATGATCCAGTCCCGACCACAAGTTCGAATACCTCCAGTTTCTCTTTCCTCTCCGAACGTTTCTCCCAGACCAGCCAGTCTGCTTGTAGCACTTCGTCACTGTTCGGAACGGATACACCATGCAGTCCGTCAAAGAGGTGAATATCTTCTATACCATACCAGACCTGGAAGAACACATCACTAAGAAACGAAAAGTGGGGCCGGGATCGGGCCGGAAGCGGGCGGGAGCTAGTTTATCGCGGAAGCAGTACTTCTTTCCTTATCGCTTATCAACACCATCTCCAACAACTGCAACCACATGAAGCTCTCCAGCCTATCTCACTACATCAACGCGCCTTTTTCCAGTTACCAAATCGAATCATTCAGTCTGTGTTAGCGCAGAGAAAATACCTATTTAGTGCGTTATTGTCGTTGTCACTGTCTAAACTCCAACTGAGAACAGCATCTTCCTGCTCCGTTAGATCCTTGTATTACCAGCTCCCCCAAAATGGCGTCCAGTCAGGACATCGACGACTCTTAATTGACAACAGCCATGTCAGAATTAGATATTGTGATATTTAGGGAAATGCCAGATGACGTCCAGGCGATACTCCGCGGCTATGAGCCCTCAGATACTAGCGATGACGCGGTGCACGTCCTTCGCGACACTTTTAAGTACCTACCTGCGGACGGGAGACGCAACCTTGGGCAAGACATAGTTGAGGCTGGAGCGCAGGGCAAGTTACATCAACTTGCACAGAGCATAATCACTGGCCTCCTAACACCCCTCAAAGTTGCTGGTGATAAGACAGCGAAGATTACGCCTTCGCCGCGAATTGGCTTGGAAGACTCACTAGAGGATCTTGCTGCTATGACAGACAAGTCCATGACCCGTCTGAAACGGCAACAGCTCCGAGTGGAAGCGCTACGGAGAGAACGCAACAAATGCGTAATCTCTGGCGGGTACGACGTCAATCTAGAAGACGAGTATCCCGACGAGGTCACAGCAGACCTCGAGACAGCGCACATTATACCTTTCGCCATTTCAGAATTCGACGGTGATGCTGAGCGCCTGCGGATAGTAAAGATCTGGTCAACTATGTTCCAATACTTTCCAAGCATTCGGTCGAGGCTCAACTTCCACTATGATCAGATCAACTCATTGACAAATGTCATGATGATGTCAGCCGGGATGCACAAACAGTTCGGACGGTTTAGTATGACACTGGAAACAACGGACACCTTGAATCAGTATTGCGTGAAGACATTCCGTCGTTTCGCCAGAGATCAAAATAATCATCTTCCAAAGGATGGGGTTGTCAATCTTATATGCCATGACGGACGATATCCTTTGCCGTCCCGTGAACTACTTGAGCTTCACTGTGCCGTGGCTCATATTCTCCATGCCACGGGCAGGGGCGTGAAGATTGACAGAATTATGCAAGACTATGCTGCCACTGGCGCATTCGCCCGTGATGGAAGCACGAATATCGCGGAGCTGTTGTCTGTCAGCAGCCTCACGTTGTTGCCCACGGTCGATGAGCGCGGTATGAACTCGAAGTCTGGAAGAGCAGTGTTTAGAAGATACGCGCAAGATTCCTACTTTAAGGACAGAGACCGATGAATCAAAAGAGAATAGACCAGAGTGCTAGTTGCAGGCACGGGTGGTTTAACACCGGCTGAGGCGCAGGCTGAGGTGGAACGCATCGTTCTACCGAGGAAGCCGATGAAGTCGAGGAAGCCTAGGTTGGTTTCGATGATTGGACGGCGCACAGGTTGGTCAATTCCTGTCGGCGTATCACGATGGGGAATCGACCTTATTGGGCGTCTACCGATTATACAGGTCGCCAGGTGTGAGGAGCCGTAGGAGATAGGCTACTAAGGGAGGTAGGTTCCTAGCCAGCGAGGTATCGTCAACTAGGCTGTGAGTCGCTGCTACGGCTACTAGGTTTTGGGAGTGTATAGGTTTGCTAATAAAAACATACGTATTGTAATGATCAGAATGAACTGCTTAGATTCCTCTAAGCTATTTAGTTCCCCCTATTTCTAGTCTGTGTGCGCGGAGTTTGGATAAACTATTATCTAAGTAAGGGGAGGGGCCCCAACAGGGGTGCACTACAGTGTGTTCGACGGGATTTGTAAAGCGGTTGCGGGAGGTGTTACCGAGCGTTCCCGTTAAGTTGGACGTGCTGCCAGGAGAGCATTTGTTCGATGTGGATATCACCATGCAGGAGGAGTGGGTGACAAAGGGAAGAGGTTTCCTGGAGCACTACTGGCCCTGACTGCTGCCTATGCAAACGCAGCAACCAGTCAGCACTAAACAAGCCAGAAACAAACGTACTTTTTGAGTCAGGCCACCTCTGAATAGTAAAGACGATACTCTCCATCCGCGTCAATGTCAGTTGAACGTTCCCTCAGAATATCGAATCATCCGTAGATTAGGAAACAAAACTGTTACCATCGTGCCTGCCTTCCCCAGAGCACCACATACAGGAGCAGCTGTGCGACTCAGGAAGCAGCCAGTGGTAGGCCCGCAGGCAGTGCCTCAAGGATTCCAAATAAGAAAACGAAGGAGGCAGGGACCCGACCACGAATTAACGATGTTCCACAACCCGCTTAGTACGGAATTTATCTGGCAGTGCACTACCAACTGCTCAAACTGGCCGACACGGGGTTGGAGTTGCACGCAGATGGTGTTTTGGTAGCTGATACTCTACCAACCGCTCCCAGGGCTGAAGAACAGATAGGGAATTGCGCATATTGACTGCTGGATAAAGGATTATTCAGTCCATGGCACGTTCGCACAAGCCCCTGTGCAAGTCAATTATGTAGATAAATCAGCGAAAATCAGACGCTAATCTTTCCTTGTTCTTTGCCTTGTAGGTAAGGAAATCATTGGGCCAGGCTGAGAGCAGTGCCACGCTGTCTGGTGTTCAGGTTCTCCAGGCTCTGACATTAGGTAGCTCGCTTGACGGCAGAGCATCTACTCATCTATGCCCCAAAAACAGAGGAAATTGCCCTTGTGATGGAGATCACTGCTGTCAGCGTCAAATATGACAGCCTTTGGGGCCGTCAATAGTTGGGAGGCCCACCGGGATTTCTGCCAGGGGTCGGCACACTAGCTTTCAGGACACGAGGCAGGCGGGTGGTTTTAGTCCAGTCAGTTCTCCGTACTCCCGGCCAGTGCAGCTATGTAACGTCAGATCATCGGCTGCACTAAACACGCCAGCGGGTTACGGCCCCAGTAGCCGTTTTTTCACGAGCAGTGAACCATGGTTCTGGAATTGCTATCATCGATCTGACAGGCTTCGAAGCTCTCATTATGTTTCGAAATGAGAGCGAGACCCGAGAGCCTGGATCCTTTCAACCTGAGGGCATAGCGCCCGTAGATCGCCCGTAACGAAAACCCACGGTAAGTGGTTGCGTCGAATTTATACTACCCATACGCGCTAGGATGCACTCGAGGAGGAGTCTGAGATGTCCAGCGCCATATTCGGTTTCAGAAGACTTTTCGAGGTACCGTCTTCTCACTTACGCAGACCCATTTGCTCGTCTTATGCTTCTGACTGTCCCAAAGACCAGTGGACGTCATTGCCCCGCTCTTAGAAAGAGCTGCAGACCGAGCGTGCCTGTTATCCACGGTTTTGATCGTCACCCAATCACATTGGCTGAAGTCGTAAGGATTGTTAACACACCAACAAGAAGCGGTGAAGGGGCGCGGTGATAGCTGCAGAGAGAGCCAGGAAAAACGAATGAATATGAGAGACAGACAGTGAGTCGTAAAAAGAATAGTTCATGCAGTCCATTTTGTGGCTCATATTCTCAGGGATGAGTACTTATGGGAATAAGGCCCTGTAAGGAATTCGTACTGCACGGTTATTTTCTTTTGCACCATCTGCGCATTATTGCTGACCTCCTTTCCTCCTATTTTTGTACATGAGGAGCCCTAAGCCACTCAGAATGTATCCCCACCAAGCTCCGTCGTCGACACCGTCATTAGTTTACCTTCGTTGAGCTTTCTTCGCATTCTTGGAGTCAATGAGCAAATCTTTCGACCCACAACCAGGACCAAGACGCAGGCGTGAGTGAGAAATTTATCATGTGATTGCCACGACATTGATTGCTGAAATTAAACAAGGTTCTATAATGATTGAGGATTACCTTGCATGCGTGTTGACTTTTCATGCAACGACCCGTTAGTCCAGAAGACGTTCGGCGTCCCTGCATTGTCTGTGGCTGAGTTCTTTGGGAGTCAAGCTGAATACCGTAGCGCTTCGTGCTTCTGTAGTGATAGAACCCATTTCTCGGCCGTTTCTTGTCGGCGGCTGTAGCCTCTGTATACCATTTAAGTGCATGCAGGCTGTCGGGTAATCGACATTTTGGTGGGTATTGGGATCCATTGCGTAACTGTATACAATGCATGAAGGTGCATCAGTTAGCTGGTCCGAGCCGTCGCTTTGGATCTCGAGCGGAAATAACTCTGAGACAGACGAAACTAAGTGGGAGGAGCACCCAATGTCTCGCTCATACGCTCATACGAAACGAATCAGTCTGGCGTTCTTCATCAAGATCTAGAACATAGGTTGCAGGAGCCTTCAAATGTCCCTCAACGCGGACCCAACCTGTCAGGTAACCATTTGAAGCTGGATAATCAATTTAGTCCAATACCCAGCAGCCAAGCCACAGAGAAGACCCTAGAGATCTTCCTCTATTTGATCTCGTCGACACCAGCGGCCCCTCTGGAAGACACCGCCGACCCCTCCTTTCCCTGCAAACTTGTTGGAGGTCAGACTTAGTCCGAATACGGTAATCAGGCTCGCTATTGTCGACAATGAACACTATCGTAGCTTGAGGTCGCAGTGTAGTAGTATGGCTCAGAGACCAATCCAGCGATGATGCTTGTCCTTTCGTAGGAGTTTTGGTCCACTGAATTTTCGCCATCAGCATTGTTTTGTCCCTGGGCGCAGGAGAGAAGCCAGGATTGGGGCAGAGCGGGTTTTCCCACCGTCCACACATTTAGTAAGAGCCTCGAGTTCCGCAAAGTACGCTCCTAAGACATTCCATGAGAAGGGGATTTGCTCTCTTTCTCGTCTGAGTCGAACAGAAAGAGCTCCGCAATAGTATCTTGTACCACGTCAATCGTTTCCAGTCACAGGTCCCTTCCCAGACATTGTTTCGCGTTCGCTTTCCTCCTATATACCCGCTCGACATCGGAGGCCTTTCGCCGCCCCTCATCGAACATTTTGAACCAGACATATTGGGACAGCCGACTTTCGAACGACGTCGAAGAAACAAAGACGGCATGACGTACTCCCTCCGATATACCTTGACCACATTAATGCGAGGACGTGCTGACACTTCCATAACAAGGAGCCCTGATTCAGATACAGAAGAGTTGGACGAAGTATACCTCCACACCGTAACGATTCGGGGTCGAGAGTTCCACAAGTTCTCCATCGATAACCGGATAGCGTTTGAGCCTGTTGATGATGTACGCCTGCCGTCTTCGAAATTGTGCAAGCATTGACCGTTCTTCATTATCAGGAAGAAGCAGAACGCCTCGACCTCCAGCATCGAGTGTTCTTCAGGATCTTCGACAGCCGACTGATTTTTCCACCGATCCCTCGACTTCGCAGAGTACTCGACTGCGGTTATGGCGCTGGATCTTGGGCAGTCGATGTGGCTACCCAATATCCAGATTGCAGGGTGAATATCGTCGTACTCAACGCGTTGCACATACAGAGGCTGACAAATTTGGCGTGAGCAAGGTAATCGGTCTTGACATATCTCCGCATAAGAATCCGGATGACGTGCCCGAGAATCTATCGTTACAGGTGGGCGGAGTCTTCCAATGATCCAGAGATGGACGCATAGCTGCAGGCTTCGGCTGGTCAGGGCTCCTGGAAAGAGCTAGACTGACATCTCATGATCAGGTAGATGACCTCAACCGTCGATTTACCTTTCCCTCCAACCATTTCGACCTTGTTCACTCGAGTCTCCTTGCGACTGGCATCAACAGAGCCAGGTGGCCGTCCTACCTCGCAGACATCAGAAGGTGCGCTCTCTGTTAAGCCAGGGCTGTCGGCCTTATGGCAAGTTACAAAAGAAATGGCCGAAGGCTGACTTGGTCAAATTCTTTAGAGTCTTGAAGCCAGGCGGATGGGTACAGTTGATCGAAATATACTTCAACGTCCAATCGGACAACGGTTCGATAACCGAGGAACATGCTCTGAGACGATGGAGCAGACAGTTCATGAGGTCATACGAAGGAACAAAGGATCTGCGTGTAGGAACACGGTTGAACACCCTTCTTCGGGATGGAGGTTTCGAAGAAATTGACGCGAGAATGATTCCTCTTCCTCTTTCGGCGTGGTCGAATGGTGAGTTCTCACTGTCCGTTTCGTTTGCGGGCCGCTGAATCGGTGTTCTAGACCGTAGAATGCAACAAATCGGCATGCTTAATCGAGAAAATGTCAATAATCTCCTTCCATCATTGGCACTATATCCATTGACTCAGATTTCCGGCATGCCTCAGCAAGATTTCCAGGACCTCATTACTCAAGCACGACGAGAGGCGGAAACAGCGAGCCTGAAGGCGTACTTTCCCTTGTAAGTGACAGTGGATCGAGCGATTATGCCTCTCTTCTGATGGTTCTGACAGGTACGTTTGCATTGGAAGAAAGCCCGGATAGGTGCTCTGAAATTGAGGAGGAAAGAAGGTCGATGGATCGTTCTGTCATATGTCAAGAGCTGCCGGGGCGCTCACGTTTCGGTTCACTTTCGAGGCTCACTCATTCCTGGAATTCGTAAAGTGAATCATGTTGCCCGTCATTCGATTAGAGATCTTGGTTTATACTAGCTCTGAAAATGAATGAGACAGATATCGGTCAGTCAAGTGCCTCTCTCCGACTTCTTTCTGAACTCTGTGACTGCGAGACAGAATATCAACCTCACTCGTTAGCATCTGGTTTTGTTCAACAGCATTGAGTTTGCAGCGTTATGAGCTAAGAATTAACACTGAGAATCAAGCAGTGGCTCTAACTCTGCTGTTCTGTAGCATGGTCAGCTTCCAGGAGATACCGAGACATGTGTTGACACGCCCCGATAGCTCGTCATCAATGTTCATTTTACCCAATACGTCAGTGAGTCCATCATTCGAGAGGACTTCCTGTGAGTCTTCAGAAGAGCAGCCCGTACGACCTTCATTATGAGTACGACATGCCGCTCATTAGGCGCTGGGGTGCAATCCTCGAGAACCGAGCATCTGCCATTGCGAGCTTGGTCTATTTTTAAACAGACATGAGATATTGAAGATTGAGCAGCCTCTCCAAGCAGATGGATTTCGATAAACAACCAATGGCAAAAGCAACGATGGATACTCAAAGGCGAGCAGTGAGTAAGGAAGAAAGAGGAGAAAGACTGAATGAAGGGGCTCGAAAGATGGAACGTCGCGGGTCCGGAACCAGAACCAAACTGACGGGACGCTGACTATTTAACCTTACACAGGACCAGACCGCGAGCGAGAATGGAGTTTTGCATTCCAGACGACCAGATAATAACCAAACACCTCTCTCTCTGTCTTCTCTCTATAACATGCGATTGAATAGCTCTATGCGTCTGGACTTTTAAGAATCCGTCTAACTATCAAGTCTGGGATAACGTCATGCCAACCCCACGTCTGCTATCTACCCTACGAGGAGATCTCCATCAGTGGTGTCCGCATTGGCAGTTTGGCGGTTCAGAGTTTTAATGCCCTCTTAGGGCCCCAAGAACCCTTCAAGCTCGGAAACTTGACGGACTGAATGTGAACTGTCTAGGTACTCAACGCTCCGCGGCTGTTCTGACATATTGTCCTTTCAGCTCCGAGTCTCCGCCCCTTTTACCAACAAGTAACATCATTGACCGTCACTAACGATGCGGAATATTCTGGTTGTCGCTGAACGTAGCCGGAATAAATGAGAGGCCTAGTCAACGAGCCCGAGCCATGGAGGCGGCATGGTACTGAAGCAGGGCGAGATGGATATTACCGGAATTGCAACGATTCTTTTTTGTCAGGAGAACATCACGACGATGATCTACAGATGAAAAAGAAACAAGACAACAGTATTCAAGTGGCTTGATGGATCAATTTACTAGTTTTATTACAATGTGACGAGTATAATAAGTCAAATTGCACCCATCTTCGCAACACTTCATAGGCACGCTGAATTGTCATACGCGCATCCAAAAATCATCTCTTCATGTACAATAATGAGTTACAATGACGGCAATTATGACAAGTAAAAGAAATGCATAGTCAAGATAGCTCGACTCTGAACATGTCGAGAGTACACGTTGGTGATCGCGCGTTTGGGCGCTTATGGCGCAAATCAGGTTTGTTGGTGCCCTACTGGTGCCTGAATTACAAGGCTACAATAATATCCCAATGGGGTAAGTGTCCGCGCTCCTGGGCGGGGAGAAAAAAAGTTGGATCCAGCTTCAATACCGATCATTATCTTTTGACAGCACGCATCTGCTGTTGATCAACGCAACTCGGCCTCAAGATGCCTTCCACATACAAGAGGGACAAGCCGTGGGATACGGATGATATCGATAAGTGGAAGGTACGTATTCTCGGGACTTATCTTACGACATTCTATCCGGATTCTAACGTACGATCACTTAATTAGATCGACGAATTCAAGCCCGATGACAATGTCGCCGGTAGTTTTGCGGAAGAATCGTCGTTTGCGACCCTGTTCCCCAAGTATCGCGAACAATATCTGAAGGAAGCTTGGCCGGTGGTGACGAGAGCTTTGGAGAAGCATGGAATCGCCTGTACGCTGGACTTGGTGGAGGGTAGCATGACTGTGAAGACTACTCGCAAAACCTTCGACCCTGCAGCCATCCTGAAGGCTCGTGATCTGATCAAGCTGTTGTCGAGAAGCGTACCCGTTCAACAGGTGAGTTTTCGCAGTGACATGGCCCCCAACACAACAACCCCCCCGGGGCTCACCTCACAACTGACGACCATGGTCCAGGCCCTGAAAATCCTCGAAGACGGCGTCGCATGCGACGTCATCAAGATTCGTAACCAAGTCCGCAACAAGGAGCGCTTTGTGAAGCGCCGACAGCGGCTCCTCGGTCCCTCCGGCTCCACCCTGAAAGCGCTGGAGCTGCTCACCAGCACCTACATCCTAGTCCAGGGTTCCACGGTCGCGGCGATGGGTCCGTACAAGGGGCTGAAGGAGGTCCGCCGGGTGGTCAACGACTGCATGGCGAACATCCACCCGATCTACCACATCAAGGAGCTCATGATCAAGCGCGAGCTGGCCAAGGACCCCACGCTCGCCAACGAATCCTGGGACCGGTTCCTGCCCAACTTCAAGAAGCGTACGCTGTCGAAGCGCCGCGTCCCCTACAAGGTCACCGACAAATCGAAGAAGGTGTACACGCCGTTCCCGCCGGCGCCGGAAAAGAGCAAGGTGGATCTGCAGATCGAGTCCGGCGAGTACTTCCTGTCCAAGGAGGCCAAGGAGCGCGCCCAGAAGGAGGAGGTTATGGAGCGGCAGCGCCTGAAGCACGAGGAGAAGATGAAGGAGCGGGCCAAGTCGTTTGTTCCGCCCGAGGAGCTGGAGGCCGAGGAGAAGAAGAAGGAGAAGAAAGAGAAGAAGAAGCGGAAGCGCGAGGCCGAGGCGGAGCCAGACGACGGCTCCGAGAAGAAGGAAAAGAAGAAGAAAAAGAAGAGCAAGTCCAAGGACGCGTCTTCGGACGGCGAGGCATAGAGGCATTCGTACCACAACTGCCTTTGTGTTTCCTGCGACGCTCACATTCAGCTTCCGCTGTCTTTTTTCGTCTGTTTGCTCTTCGAATACAAGGCGCTTAGGCATAGCATGGGTTGGAGTTATTCTTGATTTGTTTACACTGTGTTTATACTTACCAAGGAGGGAAAAGTCACGTCGAAGTTCAATTTATGTAATGTATACCAACTGACATGGGAATTCCACAGTGAGACTTGCAATCTAGTTCGTCTTCGTTGAAGTTACTGGCGCCATAATCTAAATCACACGTTGACTGAACTCTCCGAAGCAAGCATCCTACCCTTCTCTCTCAGGAAAACCTCCTGCTCCCTCCGACTCTTCTCCAGATCAACCCCAAGCACCAAAATGACAAAGCTCACCACACTCAAAGCGAACAGGAAATAAAACGGTGTTGACACATTCCCAGAGGGCGAGGCATCGATGATCGCACTGGAGACCAGCGGCCCAATGAACGAGGACGTCTTGCCGATGATGCTGAACAAACTAAAGAATAGGAACTCGTGGCCGCGGGGCGTGACCTCCGAGATCATGATCTGGGAGTAGCTGTACCAGGGGCAGACGAAAAGGCCATAGAAGGCTTGGTAGAGCTGTTTGTGCTTGTTAGCAGACGCAATGGGAATCTTATCTGGTTGGTGATGGGCTTGATTGAGCTTACCCAGATCTCCCAAGCATGGTGGAACCCGAACCGCTGCGTCCAAATGCCGATCATCCCCCATCCGTCGAGCAGGATGATTCCCACTGCGATAGCGTTGAACATGGTCTTCGTGCCGAGGTTGTAGCGCCTCTGGATGAACCAAAAGGCGTAAATGCCAAGTGCCTGGAGAGATCAGGGTGTTAGTCAGGACAGGACGGGCATGGGGACAGAAGACCTACCTGTGCTGCTATGCCTACGATCAGGAGATAGGTCAGTTCCAGTGTGTTGTATGCGACGATGCTATTCTGCAATGTCGCAATCACCGTGACTGTTGTGTTGAGGGAGTCGCCGAGGAGGAAATATCCTGCAGGGGGGTGCTGGTCAGTTTACCACGAGGGAGATCTCCACAGCAGTACACGACCTTACCTATCAGATACAACAGACTCTGCTTGAGTTTCCACACTTCCCTTCCGGCATGGTATAGCTGCTTCAATCCCGCAACGATAATGTTCCGTCCGGGGTCCTGCCCCGGCCGTCGTTTCTCAAGAACAAACCACGGCAGCGAGACGAGCAGCCACACCCCGGAGGCGAACGCAATCAGCACGCTCAGCCCCCAGTTATTATTCGCCTGGCTCTCATCCACTCTCAACCCAAACATGATCCCCACGATGACAGCGAGGATCACAATCTCCGCTACAGACTGCACGTAGAACGCTACATTGGCGAGCTTGCTGCGCGCCATCGTGTCCGCATCGTCGTACTCCTCTCGCGAGATCCTACCCGCTGCATACGCATCTGCACAGTCCTTCATCTCGGCCGTATTCCGCGCCAGACCCGGAAACGCAGCCGTCCAGAACGTCAGTGTCGTCTGATACGCGATCAGTCCTACAATGTACAATCCCACTGCGATGTGCCATTTCTCTTGCGTGTGGACGCCCAACCAGCCGAAGCCAATGGCGTAGGCGATAATCGACAAGACGATCAGGATATTAGGCCGCCAGGTCCCGAAGTCAGCGAAGCTGCCTATCACCAGGAAGACGACGACCTGGATGGCGAAGGAGATGCCGTTGCTCAGAAGGACGATACTGTTGATCGAGCGCTGGCGGCCTGCGAAGGGGAGGGTTCCCCGGTCGCCTGCGGCTTGGTAGAGGAGGTTCTGGAAGGCAGTAGGAGCGAAATCTAACCTTCGTCAGTTTCTTTTCGGATCGATATTCAGGATGGTAGTAGCGTACTGAATAGCGAGAGCCCGTTATTCCCAATGTAGTAGCTATGCAATGTTAGCGGTTAATTGGTATTTCTGGTTAGCACGCACGCATAATAGGCCCAGATCTCCCATTTCGTCGTGCGATATCTCTCGTCAAATACATCGGGCGCTACAAGCTCTCCGGACGCCTCATTATCAACCGCGTGAGATGTCACTTGCTGTTTGGGTTTTGCATCGCAAGTTGCAGGTGCTTCCACATCGCCCGACGCTAAAGAGGACATGCTTGCGTCTATACGCTCTCAAAACAGGGATATCCAGGGGAGAGTCTGCAGGCTGCAGAATGTCAAAATATGTAACCCCGCGCATTCTGCAGAATTCCGGTAGATAGGGAAAAGCGAAAAGCCCTTATCGAGATTATGACTCGCGTAGTGGCTAACACTAACGAGATCTAAAGTGATGCTTTCCCTGTATTGGTGGGAGATTCCCGTTAGCAACTCAGCAGTCTGTCGATCGCAGCCACGCAGTATTCTGTATGCATAGTATTGGCTGGACCTTGTCGGAGGCTTCCTGCAGTGGGACAAGATTCTGCCAAATTACTTGAAGCTTTCTCGGACCTCTTATTCGACGTATGACACTTGTCACATTGACCGTCTCCAGTGTATTTTTTTTTTTTTTTTTTTTTTTTTCCAAGGTATCATTGTCCAAGAATATGACTAGCTATCTAGTAGCAATGGTCTAATATATATACAATAGGTCAGACAATCACAATTTGGCCCGTCCGCTCTCTATTGAAGCCCAACTCTGCTCGTCTAGCTTCTGGTATGTGGAGCCGTTCAGCCAGTACAGCTTGTCGCCCTTGGTCTGCGTGCGGGGATCCCAGCCCATTTTGGCCAATTCGCCCTTTGCTTGCTTGAATGTCACGCCAGTTGCTACCCTAGATCGAAAAAGAACGGAATATTAGTCGAAGAAGAAGTCGGTGTGTATTCAAATAACTCACTTCTCGGTCAGCCGAACAAGTCTCGGCATGGCATACGACGGTACGCCTTTCTTTTTCAGCGCTCGGTGCAGGTTCGCCATGAACTCAGCCTCTGCTGCGGGATCTTCGAGCGTAATACCAGCAGCGCCGGCCTGGCCGTCGTATCTGAAGCAAGAGTTAGCATGAGAAGACCCGAGACTGAATGAGAGAACATACCCGCTCAGTTTCACGCCGTAGACAACAGCGTCATGGACACCTGGGATGCGACAGATGTGGTCCCTGATTTCCCCAGCGCTTACATTCTCGCCCTTCCAGCGGAACGTGTCTCCCACGCGGTCCTGAAATTTGACCCAGCCCGAGTCGTCCTGGACGAGAAGGTCGCCGGTGCGCTGATACAGATCGCCTTTCACGAAGACGTCCCGCAGGAGCTTCTTCTCAGTAGCTTCCTCGTTGTGCAGGTATTCGGTCAGCAAGGCCCGATCCCTGACTCGGCCAATGGCCTCTCCCTCCTCGCCCAGCTTCGCCTTGACACAGAACCCGGTCTTCGGGTCCCGGTACGGCATTTCGGTATCCGGATCGTACTTCACGATGAAGACATCCTCTTCCAAGAATCGTCGGATGGGTCCCGAGAACCCTATTTTGCCTGCACCCCATGCACCCACGCCGTGATTGTCGAACTTGGCCACGCCTTCAGTAGATCGATAGAATTCGCGGATCTCGGGGACGTTGAACCTTTGCCGGAACCGCTCCCAAATCTCACCCCGCAATCCGTTGCCCGCCGCGACAATGCAGACGTGGTCCTGGTCGTAGGGAGATGGAGGTGTGGCTAGCAGGTATCGACAAAGTTCACCGATATACAGGATACGGGTGGCTCTAGAGTCATGAACATCTTTCCAGAACTGGGAGGCGGAGAACTTGCGGCGCAAACACAGGGTGCCTGCATTGCCGACCGAGTAGCATATGCCCGTAAAGTAGGCGGTGCCATGGAAGAGAGGAAGAGAGGAATAGGTGCGCAGTGGGTAGTATCTGGAAGGATCTCTGACATCCGTGCTCAGAGGATTCGACGTCACCATGTTCATCATGTTGCGGATGGCACATGCTTTGGGGTTGCCTGTTGTGCCGGATGTATAGATGAGTACACACAGATCACGGACAGATCGCTTGGCCGGGATCAAGCCTGTGGGAGAGTATTGCTGCAGGTCAGCTGCGGTAACCAGCTCTGCTGCGCCGACGGAAATGCCATCAAAAGAGCCAATATTCAGCGCAATATGAGGCAGGTCTACGCATACAAATTGCGACAGGTCTGGTGTGGAAATAATGAATTTTGACCCGGAGACATTGAGGCAGTGCGTAAAGGTGTCATCTAGCTCAATGGGGTCAGTTCAATCGGTTGCGACAGGGAATTCTTACGAAGCTCATACCACGCAGGTTGTTATTGATCAAAGCTGCCACAGCACCCAGCTTTGCCAGAGCATAGATGGTTACCACCATTTCAGGCGAATTTGTGTTGAATACAGCGACAAAGTCGCCTGCCTTGATATCTCTAGAGTGCAACAAAGAGGCGAAGCGATCGACAACTGATTAAGACAATCAAGTCAGCTTTTGAACAGGAGAAAGGACAGGTTTGTATCAGTAAGAGCAGACTCACGATCTTTCAATTGACTATACGTCCATGTCTTGTTCTCAAACCAGAGTGCCTCACTGGCGCCGCATCCTTGAACCTCCACGACTCGCTCCAGCATCATGTACAGGGTCGCTGTATCGCCAAGCTCACCAATTCGCTGACCCAGCCGTTTTGTCCAGTCTCGATCATTGCAGATAGTTGTCAAATCCGTGGAAATGGCGAGTTTAGCATTCAGATATGCCCCTGCTGCGACGGTCAGGGCGGAGGCGACCGCCAGCGAAGGGGCTGATACTTCGGAAAAGAAATCCATAAAGGGTTCAGCCGGGTCGAGGAAAGGGATAGTAGTAGACGTAGTTAGTCGACAGTGAAGCGCAATTAATCTCGTTGCTTTGGTACTCTCCCCGCATATATATGTTTTGCGGAGGTACCTACTCCAGAGTAGCGTCCGATTTACAGAAAACGACAGACAATGGATGCATCGATATGACCTTAATTATCAAGGCCCAGCTCCCGGGCAATTGCTCCAACTCGGCGAATGGAGACGGGAGCTGAATTATGAGAGCTCTGCCGGCCATGAGGCCCATGACGCGCTTACGGGAGACTATCTTGGTTGTGCGGAGACGGCAATCGAGGAGCGGATGAGATCCGATAGTTACAGTAATGGCTGTCTAATACGCACTGCCGGGGGATCTGCCTCATACCCAACTTGAGTGTCTGTCCACTTGTCCAGACTTTGTTAGAGGCTTGAACAGGCGCTAATTGTCATGACATATTGAGGTATTTACAGTTCTACATCTTTCCATGCCTGGCACCCAAGAGTCCGGACCACCCACAAGCGAAATATATTTTGTGAAGAATACGGAGTAGTGCTCCGTACTTCTTCGACCGCTCCATCCACACACACTCATAAATTGGATGTAAACCTGTCTTTCCATCATAGAAAAGTAACTGGAGAATTTAAGGCACACAATATTTCTACGGTACGGGGTACCTATACAACGGCACTCCCCGTGGGAAAACGCGTTGCGTGGGAACGGAAACTTGTGGGGCCGACTGCTTCTCCAGTCCCCGTTCTAGTTCCCTCCCCGACTTAAAGGGCTTTGAATACTGAATACCGGCTCGTCTCCGGATCCCAGTAAGAAGCATGAATCTCACAAACAATTCTTGAGGGGCATCTATGGCATCTAGAAGTACGAATCAAATCTATCTACTATCTCTCCCGCGCTACTTGCTGTATGCAGGCGGATTTCTGTGAAGAATTACCTAATCCACCGGTACCATACCGCCCAAACACGATGCGGTACAAAGTCCGACAGCCGAGGCCACTACACGCCCTGGATGCGTACGGTAACAATACCACTGCAATACAGTCCATTGGCGGCAGTGTCAGTCGGGAACGGGGTGGCTCTCATTCTTGTCTACCTACCACAGTGGATCTATATGGAGTTTGTCTTGAACTGAGGCTACCCCAATTTATTCAACTGGCTGCAATGCTTTTCCGTCCCCAATCCCCATATTCTGTATTCTTATCCCATTGGCTCTAATATTATTAATCTGGATCTCGGCTCGGCCTTTCGCTCGTGATCCTTCGGCTGCATTGTCCTTTTTGCCCTCCGCAGATCAATATTGTCCTAGATACCGCGGTTCATTCGCCATCTCCGGACTATAACATAGCGCGGCCATTCTCGCGGGGCAGTTGGTCTTTTTTCTATCTCATACACTTCTTCAAGACTCAAGGAAAATTCCTGCAACGTTCCTGCAGAAACAGTGTAGCCAGAATCATGTCTACGCCACAGCAACGGTTGTCCTCGATCGCTAACCAGGTCGCTGGTTCAAATGTGTCGGCGAAGAGCAAGCTGTTGGCCAAGAATCCCGATGATATCGTACGTCTGAACAGAACTTGCGAAAACTAAGACGAAGGCTGACCTCCCTCAGGTGATCACGCTTGCTGTTCGGACTCCTCTCACAAAGGCCAGAAAAGGTGGTCTGAAAGACACCACAATAGATAATCTCCTTCTTTCATTGCTTACAGTATGTTACCAAATCGATGTCCTCGCCAACCATAGCCTATCCTAACAATCTGCAGTCTATCCGCGAAAAGTCCAACCTCGACCCCAACCTTGTTGAAGATGTCTGTGTCGGTAACGTGCTTGCGCCTGGTTCCGCATACATCGCCCGCTCCGCGGTGCTTGCAGCTGGCTTCCCTGTGACGGCCGCCGCCTCCATTGCCAACCGATTCTGTTCTTCTGGATTGCTGGCGATCCAGAACGTCGCTAACCAGATCATGGCTGGTTCCATCGATATCGGTATCGCTGTCGGGGCCGAGAGCATGAGCACCAACGCCGATGGAGGAGCCCCAGAGATGTCGGCTCAGATCATATCGCATCCTATTGCCTCCCAGAACATCCAACCCATGGGCCAGACCTCGGAGAACGTCGCTGCCCAATTCAACATTTCCCGAGAGCAACATGATCAGTTTGCCGCCAAGAGTTATCAGAAGGCCGAGCGCGCGCAAAAGGCCGGTTGGACTGCCGACGAGATTGTGCCCGTCAAGACGCAAGTCAGAGATCCCAAGACAGGTGAGGTAAAGGACGTCGTCGTTGATCGTGACGATGGCATTCGTTATGGCACCACTGCTGAGTCCCTCGGCAAGATTCGCTCTGCTTTCCCTCAGTGGAAGCCCAGTGCCACAACCGGTGGCAATGCCAGTCAGATCACGGATGGCGCCGCCGGTGTCATCCTTATGAAGCGGTCTCGTGCCCAGGAACTCGGACAGCCCATCATTGGCAAGTTTTGCGGAGCTACAGTTGCGGGTTTGGAGCCTAGAATCATGGGTATCGGCCCTTCCATTGCTATCCCCAAGATTCTGTCCAAGTTCAACCTGACCAAGGACGATATCGATATTTTCGAGATTAACGAAGCATTTGCGTCCATGGTATGATTGATCCTTTTGTGTACATCTGAGCTGTACTAACTAATGACTGTCTAGGGCGTCTACTGTGTTAGCAAGCTGGGTCTTGATGAGAGCAAGGTCAATCCCAGAGGTGGAGCGATGTGAGTCGTTTGGTTATCCTTGAGCGTTCTTCATCATTTACTAACCTATTGCAGCGCACTGGGTCATCCGTTGGGCTGCACCGGCGCTCGCCAGGTCGTTACTGCTCTGTCTGAGCTCCGCCGTCAGAACAAGAGAATCGCCGTTACCTCGATGTGTGTCGGAACTGTGAGTTACCCCAGGTTTGGTCTCATCTCTGAATTTTCACTAATATTGACTAGGGCATGGGTATGGCCGGAATTTTTGTTTCGGAGCATTAAGATAAATGTTTAAAGATTTAGCTTGGGAATTGATGAAGAGCCGTCAGTTTGGGAATGTCCGCCTTGTATATATATACCTAGTCCTTGCATGAAAATAAGAGCATGTTCATAGCTTCTGTACGTCGGACTCTCGCCCATCAATTGCTTAGTAGTACGGTAACAAATCGGTTACTCCATATCAGCGGAGTATTGAAGCGTCGAGTGGGTCATCATCCCCATGATTGACTCCGCCTACTGCCATTTCAGCGATCGAACTACGAGTCCAAGACGGCGGCATCGATTGCAAGTTCGATCGCAATTTTAGCATCGAGGGTGTTCTAAATAGCCACAGTGGCGATCTCAACGATCAGCTTATCTTCGTCGGAGCTCGTGACACATAGCGCACCCCGTGCATGCATAGTCACGTGCACATCCACCATTCGTCATCCCAGACGACTATCCAGGTATTTTGCGCCAGTGGCTGTGGCTCATCACCGCTTCTCCTCATCTACCACTACTCGCCTGCGTCTGCCATCAGACCCTCCTTGCAACTTTGTCCTACATATATCACCTCTCTCCTTTCTCTTATACTATCAAGAGCAGTATCTGACCTCGTCTTGTCATTCTCTGGTCCCAGTCTACTACGACCGCTGGTTGGCTGATCCTGCGACCATGAAGCTCTTATCTACCGCCGCTACCTTGCTCGTTTGCCTTGCTCCTCTCTCCGCCTCAGCACGGTCGATCTCTTTCTTCGATTCCGCGCAGGCTCCAATCCAACTTGAGACATTTCCTGTTAAGGGGGATAACCCGTTAGAATACTGTTCCGACCCTTCGGACAATATCCTGCAGATCGAATCGGTGGACTTGTACCCTAACCCTCCTCTCCCGTACGTACTGGCAGTCCCTATACCGTATAGTGTCGGGTGACGAACGATTGACTGATTTTTGATCACAGTGGCCAAACTCTCTCTATCAATGCCAGTGGCAACTTGACGGAACGGGTGGAGGAAGGCGCTTATGTCTCTCTTGTGGTTAAATACGGTCTCATCACCCTGATCAAGCAGACCGCCGATCTCTGCGAACAAATCAAAAATGTGGACCTCGAGTGTCCCCTGGAGAAGGGCGAGATGACCTTGACTAAGCAGGTTGATCTGCCTTCGCATATTCCTCCTGTACGTTGGCCTTTTGAGCTATCCTGGTAGTTAATGTTGCTAACGACGATGAACAGGGGAAGTACAACGTCCATGCCGACGTTTATACCAAGGACGACAAGAAGATTACTTGCCTTGAGGCGCGCAATATCGAGTTCAAGATCCGGCCATGAGAAGACGTTGGCTATCATCGCTACCCTTCCACTGGATGATCACTGATGTGGCTTTTGAATCCGCTCCTACATACTTACGATCCCTTGATGAATTGCCCTTACGAGCCTCTGTTCTCTGTTTCATTCTTATGTTCGCTGTAAACTGCCATAGTCCTCCACAGTCAAAGTTGCATGCTCTTGGTTATATCCGCTTTGCTTGATATTAGATGATGCGATATATCATCCGGCGTCACGGCAGATCGTCATCACTTGCTTCTCGTCATGCCTGCACAACTATGTATATGCCTGAACTACCGTCTAATACAGAGTCTTCATTCGAGTAATTCACGACTCTCAGAAAGTAAAGCGGAGGACAAACATAGCAACCATCACTACTATGCAGTGCGCGGTAGTATCTCCGAGAAGGACAATTCCAATGCCGCTCTCTCGGACAACCAAGCATCGTATCGGCGCTGATAATATATCGAATTCTATGTGCATAGATCCTAGATAATCGGGTATCTTCCCACGACTCGCACGGCGCGCACGGCCACCCTAGAACACATCCTAACTAATGAAGGTGCTGAAAACAAAATAAACCTAGCAGTTACCATCTATTCACCAAATAGCCGCCGCACGCGCTTAAGCACGCTGTCCTTCTCGGGGTCATAGGGATGGTCTTTACTCGGGATCTCGAGGACGGCGGGGAAGGGGTCCGCGAAGGAGTCGACGCTGTGTCTGATGCGTTCGGCAATCTGATTCTATGAGCCACTGATCCCTGATGAGGTAGACTGCAAAAACAACGTACGTGTTGGTTGATCAGCAGCACGGCAATGTCTTTCCTCTCCTGGGTGAAGTTCTGGAACGCCTTCTCGATAGCAGACGTTTCGGTCTTGGAGTCGACGACGAGGAAGTTCCGCTGGGCGTCCGGGCCGTCTGTGACGTGCTAAGCGGTTGTTAGTTGTGCTTTTCGAGGGGGATAGTATGTCCGCGTGATGGTATACGTACACCGATACCCGCGAGAAGGAGACCGGTTACGGAGCTGGATGCGATTAGCGGTGGTGGTTCTCTCTTTGTGTCTTGCTACCGGAGGTGCTGGTTACTCTTCGTCGCCGATGACGGCGAGGAATTGCCGTTCCTAGGGTTCAGAGGGGAGTCAGTGATATGGCCATGTCAACGTGGGGATATGCGAGTGTGAATGTACCTTGTAGGACACCGCCGAGGCTGCCATCTCTGGACGAAGGATCGGCTGGACTGAGCCTTTAGAAAGAAGTAGAATCTACCCTGCAGAGCAGCTACCGTGGGTAGGTCGATCAAGTCAACAATGAACTTGTGGATGAAAGAGTCGTGTCCCGATTGTGGATAACCACTTCAGTGGACGTTCGTCATAGCAGACCGCTGCGGCTTATCTAAGCGGGGCCGTGATGTGTTTGTTTAGCAGGGGAACGGAAAACCTTGGCGTATGTTTGTATTTTGTCACTCCTCAAAACGTTCGTCTGGATAATTAAATTGCCTGGCGGGAGCACATATGAAGGATAAAGAACCGTCCCTGGTAGCGCTCTGCAATATCTGTGCCCCGATATCACCATGCCCCGGCTCGTACGCCGCCAACCGCTGGCGGAGCGCATCAGATTGTACTTGAATCCACTGGACTTTCTGCTATGGCTGTCAGAGGAGATCGATGCGAATGCTTGGGATCAATTCGAGAAGGATTGGGCGCTGCCTTTGGGTATTGTTCTCAATTTAGCCTTCCTCATTGCGAGGGCGAACAGCCGATCGAGTGGCAGCAGAGCCATTGACGATGTCTTCGGAGACGATGGCGGAGTGCCGTGGATGAGCTGGTTTGTATGTCGCCAACAGTTCAAGGAGCTTGCTGGGATTCACAGAGGATGAGTCGCTAATCGGTGGTTGCTGGCAGGCTTCCTTCATCGTTCACTTACTCGCGTGCTTCAGCGCGTTCAATACTTTCTACACCTTCTATCGGAAGCGACTCTATCGTCTGTTTGAGGCTTCGATAGATCAACCACCGGCTACACCATCGGCTCGCCGTGTCCGCGTCGATTCAACGCCTATGACAGCTTCGCCGTTGCGGTACTTTGCAAACGTGATTGCCGGATCTGCTGAGTCCCGGGCGCATCCCGACGCGCAACGGGATGTCTGGGAACTTGCAGTTTGGGATCCTCTGCCGATTTGCCTTCGACTGTTCTGCCTCTTCAGCCCTGGCCACGTCCTGGTATACTGGGTATTTTTGCCTACGCAACTGTCCGATCCCCGGCCAAGCGTTACTATCGTCACGGTTATCTTCATTACAACTCTGCTGTCTGTGCAGATGTCATTCCTCTCTTCCTCGTTCACTCAGCAAGCCAAGGATTCCATGGTGGTTCACAAGGAGGTCCTTAACGAGTACGACACCAAATTTGTCCATCCGAGGACCCAGCCCGTGATGAGAGATGTTGGCACTCAGTTCTCCGACCCCCATACCTCTCAACCTGGTTCCGATGCCAAGTATAACAAGGTGGACACGTTCACTCCTACCCGTGTCATCCACCGAGGATTCAAAACCAGTCCCAATCCGAACTATGTCAGTTTTGTCGACCCCGAGGGAGCGTCCGCCAGACGTCAGACATTGGCTACGCCAAATACTTCTCACAACTATACGTCGCTGCAAACACCGAGTCATTTACGAGATGCCTCCCCGGTTGTACGAGGCCCCGTTGCTTCCATACGCCAACCGCACTTCCGACCCACACCGAGTGCTACAGGCGACGGCGGCAGTTTGGGGGTCTTCTCGCACGCAAATTCCCCTTTGAGGCGATCTACGCCGGCCAATATCGACCGCCGGGTTCCGAATCCTCCAGATTTCTTATTCAAAGACCGAGGTACTCCTATGAAGAGGCTATCAAGTCCCTTGAAGAAGAGCAATGTTCCCGGCAGTACAACACCGTTGACCCAGACACCAAGACGGACTCAGAATGACCCTCGTCGTGAAACGGGCCGCTTCTGAATTCAATCATGGGATCAGCCATCTCGCAAATTGACGAAACAAGAAGAATTGCTGATGTATTGTTACCGTGCACGGGTCGTTCTACCATCCTGTCATTTGTTCATTAAGCGTATACACCGTGTAACCATGACGTTTTCCAGCATTTGGCCCTGGCGTTTGGAGGTCCACTTCGCTTTCACATGATTTTCTATTCTCATAATGTCTTTTTTCATGACGTTTCCTTTCCGGAGTGCAATTCAGAGTCGTCCTGTTTCTCTGTTGACTGGGAATGTTGGCTGGCGAGGGTGACCAGCCACTGTAGTATAATCATGTTCCGTCCCGGGCACAGCGCGGTCTGGCCCATTGTTGACTTGTCGGTACTACGGAGTAAAGTCTGGACTATATTTTCACAGAAGTGACTTGGTTTCGAGGTGAGGCGGTTCTCTGTGTGTTGAAATTGGTCGAGAGGATACTTTGTTTGATTTTGTGAGATACCCTTTGATCTTAATCCTTTGACGATCAACATTTCCGATCTACACAATCTGCCATCACTTAGTCTACACTACGATCATCTTGTCCCACTTCATCAGACAGACTGCCGACATTCTCCTACGCGGCTGCAGTTTCCATTCCAGATGGTGGACAAAACCAGCAGGCGCGCATTCCGCAGCGGTTCCTTCAGTCCGCGTGTGTGTTCGCTGCTACATTCCACGGCATGGCAAGTCGGATCACATAGCATTCCGCGCATATAATTACAAATCTGGTCATATTCTTTTGTCAGGCTGGGAATTATTCTTTGGCTGGGAACCTGCCACTGCACTCAACGGGCCAGTGCACTCGTCGAGTCGGTCTTTTCTGGCAAGCACTTCGCCATGCTACGGCGATCCTTCATCCTCTGCCTCAGCATTCAACGAAATCACCGTCAAAGAGCCCTGAAGTCGATCAGAGCAAAGTCAACAACAAGAGAAGTGTCTGTTGCTCAAGGAATGGGTAACTGTGGAAGGTCAACCTGGCCTTGAAGTCCAGCCTGTCAATAACCGTCACTTTCGATACAGTATGGATGAGCTTCTGCACTTACACCAGGGGCACTTCATGAACCTTTCGCCTCGAAGGCGCCACGATAAGCGAGAGGAGTTGGACGTGGAAGCAGTAGAAAATACGCAGCAGGAGAGAATTACATCAGACCGCGGTGGAAGCCCAATGAATTCGAGAAACATTGATTCTGGAACTGGAACTCCAACCATCGTGCGAAGGACCAGACCGACGAAGCTTCCTCTGCCCAGGGATTTCGCAAGCAAAGCCAAGGAACAACAAAAAGATAAACCTGCTACGCCTCAACATCGGGACTATGGTTCTCTCGGGAACGTCCGACCAAGGAAGTCGCCTACAACTTTATTATACAGCAGTCCGGAGGAGGTGATGGACAAAGACCGAGAGCAATATTGGCGGAAGGTCAGGGATAAGTTTGAGAGGGAATCCCCATCCACGAAGAGTCAAGAGAAGGATAAAGAGAAGGAGAAGGACAAGCACAAAGAGACTTACTACGGAGCCTACAAAAAGATCATATCGCTGGCCAGCTCTCCAAAGAGTGAACTGGTCAAACAGAGACTGAGATCGGCCGGTGGTGATCTACGAGGAAGCCCAAAGTCACGGATTGCGAGCCCTACCATCCACCCTCGGCTTCGTCCAGGCTACAGCTCTCCCAGCAGATTTGATAACCAGTCCATCAGTCACGGGAAGCGACAGCTCAGTGGAGTTCAACGAAAGAATTCTGATACGGACGAGAGCATTCTGCACTTCTCCACGGACAAGACGGATAACGCCACCGACTCGTCGATCAATTCTCACTCTTCTCTGTCACCCGTGTCGGGCCCGAGCAGCTCATTGACGGAATGGGAGGACAAATTCGTTGTCAACATGCCATCCGCCAAAGAGCCAAACCCACCAACAATGAGTGCACAGCAGATTGCGGAATTCCAGCAAAGCATCGAGCGGGTGCACAACGACGGCGGTGCCATGCTTGATCCAGACTCTCTGCCTAGTCCACGTACCGGGACGCCCGAAGACAAGGATTTGTCTGCTGTGCAGCCTGCGAAGCCGACCTCGTTTGACGGTCAAGATCCTCCTCCCCCACCCGCCCATTCGGCGGGGGTTGAGGAAAGCCCACCATCGCAGCCAAAACACCCGAGGTACTACTGTCCCGACGAGATCGGTAAAAATCGCATCAGTACAATATGGGAAGAATCTGCCTCGAAATCCGAAAAGGATGTACCAAATGTCAATCCGGATGGCTCTTTTTTAGGGTGCAAGGAGATCAATGGGCCCAACGACAAGAACCCCGACGAGATCCTGCTGTTTTCGCCCGTGGATCGTCCCCGGGTAGTCGATGTGCCGAGCCCTATGTCCAGAAGCCCCAAAGAAAGGAAGATTCAAGTGGTTCGCCAGAGGAATCCGGACCTCGGAGAGAAGACCGTCGCTCGAGAAGAATGGAAACCAGGTACTCCGAATTTGAAACTTGTCCAATGCTCGAAGCCATCACCGAGGACCGTGTGCCGCGAGACCAGCTGCCAGCAACCAGAAAAGACGGCCCAGGACTCGAGCAAAGCGGACCGCGAGTCCCCGCCACCTTTAGGCAAGCGCCTCGAGGACAGAAGACCGACTCCCAGGGACGACGATGTCTTCATTATCACACCCACTATCATACGCACTATGGTGAGCATGTCCGATATCAAGGGTGCGGCGCAGAAGGGACCTCCCGTCGGAATACCCACGTCGCGCACCGCAGGCGACATTATCACCGACGCTCGGGCAAGACCGCAAGGAAAGCCTTCGCCACTGGGACTGAGACGAGTGGCGCAAAACTCGCAGGAAAAGTCAAACGTATCGTCGCCCATGCCCTTGCGAAGTGCTCCTGTGCGGAGTATCCCCGTGGTCAAGCATCGAGCAGAAGCCGGAATGCGCAAGGTCGAACAGTCCCGAGATATGCGTGGGTTCATCCGTATGCCAGGCACGACACCACCGTCTGCAGAAAGTCAGGCAGAGCGCACCGGAAATAACGCACCACAATCGCGTGCTTCCAGCACTGGATCGAGCAGCGAGAACTCGCAAGTGAGACGAGTGACGGACTCCGGTCAAGCCGGCAGGTCGTCGCTGGTTGTCAATATATCTCCAGTCGGTTCGATCGACAGAGGTCAGCCAGATGGTGGTAAGACAGTGCCAGAAACGACCAAGGTGGTAGAAGTAGCGGAACTGGACGGATTACAAGTGGTAGAACACAAAGCAAAGACGCCGCCGCCTCGAATCACTCCGTTACATGCTGATCCGCCGAACATGGAGATGGAGATGGAGGTGGCCAGTCCCACGAAGAATGCGACAAATGCGCTGACCCTCGCTCTGATTTTGGAAATCTTCGTCCTATCAGTCGCTCAAATGGAGGCCCTCTGGCAGAGACTCGTGTCAAATCGGCATTCCAAGACCGCCCTGCTCAAGATTGCCATTAACAGCGTTCTGCAGATGCTCGAGCATTGCCTTCAGGTTCTCCGGACATGGCTGACGGTCTTTTCCGTTTACAATGCCACTGGGGTCTGGCCGCGACCGGCAGAAGGCGATCTCGCTCGGTCCCTGACGGATATCTGTCAGGCGATTGCTTACCTCGTTGTTCTGTGTTTTATGATGATGATTGTTGAACGGGCAGCCGGGTACATAGTCCTTGTTGGAAGTTGGGTTGTATGGTTTGCGAAGCCTTTTGGATGGTTCTTTGTAGCAATAGGAAGGGCTCTCTTTACATGATTCTGCAAGTGGGCGAGCCTGATGTTTTCTCGGCATGATTGTATCACATACTACTGCTGCATGGATGGCGCGAGGGGCTCTTGACTAGTATTTTCAGCTATCTATCATTACTACGCGCGAAAGTGTGGGCACCCACTCTTTGATGACTGGACTATTCTTACACAGGCGGATAAATATGACTTCTACTTGTGAAACTTTGCCGATAGAGCAAACGAGAAGTGATGTGACTCGAAAGCACTGACTACTGTAGTCTTGTAGTCCCAGGTATATATCTGTTTCGGATGTTCGAAGCTACAGATATCTGTGTATCTGTCTCTATCCGACTTTGACTATGTCTGCTACCCAATCTTAGCGCAAAGACGAGGGAACGCATCACCGAATAGAACCGTCGATGCTCTTTGCATTCTTCTAGAGGGAAGACCCCTGAAACAGAGAGTCGGAAAGACATATAGTGAGGAGAGAAGAAAAGAGAAGGAAAAATGCACCAAGAAGATGGAAGGTGATGAAAAAGACTCCGTATCCCGTGTTGAAGAGGGTCGCTTTTGCTCTTGAAAGATTTGACCGACTGCCTATCCGTTGAAACCAAACTCCGTCATCCGTCATGTATGTTGAATTATCGTCGAAGGACCCATTCCTTCTGTAGAAAAAACTATGCTTTTCTGTCTATGCAAAGCCTCTTTTTGTTGGAAAAGAGGAAACGTGAGCAAGGACTTTCTGTTCCGTAGCGTCTAAGCTGATACCACATTAGATGTTGAATTTCGTAATCCTTCTCGCTCGTGATCAATGATAAAAGAAAAAGATGAGAGGGGTATATGGGAAAGAGATATGTTGAAAAAAATGTTGAAAGTGAATAACGCTCAGGGAAGAAATCGTTGAGAGGTCTTCAGTCGTGTCGCCATTAAACATGATGCCCTGGGGTTTGGAATTGTGTCCGCGGGCTGGTATCGTTGAGATAGATGTTGAATAAGGGGTATGAGAGGTTGGAGAGAATTTTGGAGTAGAAAGAGTCAAGGCAGGATTTGAGGCTATGGCTCCTGGTCCTTAGTTCTTCACGGCAAGTTCTTCGGGGCTGCTCCGTTTGGCTGGGACTTCGTCTCGACTGTGTCGGGGCCGACCGGAACGTCAAGGTCTTTCACTTCCAGACCGTTGAAGAGGTCGAAGAGGTCATACGTGTTGTGGAAGTCGTTGTTAACTAAGATATCCAGGGTTAGCAATTCGAATACATGCAGAGAGCGATCGCAAACTTACCGATGTTGACCAGGTACCAGTTGTCCATAATATCCTGGATCAACTTTCGACTAGGGCTGCTGGCATCATGACATTTGGCCCAGTCTTCACCCAGACGGTATGCCTCATCCTTCCAAGCCAAGAAACTGATCGTCTCCACAATGGTCGGCTGGACGATTTCTCGACCGGCGAAGATACCCCAAGTCAGAGCATTAGGGCTGTCACGAGTATTGGTGCGCAATTCGCGATTCTTGGCCACGGCATGGTAGGTCAAGTCGGGGTTCTTCTCGATCCGAGCGATCAGCTCGTCAAGCAGATAGGGAGGTACAAAGAGCTCGAGGTATGCCTTCTGGTAGACGAAACCGTTCTTGGGACCCCAGCCATACACAGGGTGAGACGATCTCACACCGTTCACGGCAGGTTGCGAGTTGACTGTGAGTAGACCCCTGCCGTTCAGCTGGACCAGGTTGTCCTTGATGGCATTGGCTTCGCCACTGATCGGCGAGTCACTCCATGGCAGGCGGTCCAGCTTCCCTTCCAGGTAGCGAACGAAAATCTGCGTTACATCGCGAATAGACTTGGGCTCGCCCCAAAGTTTGATGTTCTGTTCGTTTGTGCCCTTGAGGCCGATGCCATAAGCGTCGAGCTCACCAAAGGCAGGGGACCGAGAGTCGGTCCAACGGCCGTTCGGGAATTCATCCCATGTCTGTGTACGGGCAATGTAGGAGGAGTTTCTGTTGCGCCAGAAAATGGGACGGACATCCTCCCCGCGGCGGTTGAGCGCGAGTGACGGCCGCCAGGGCAGGGGTCTCTGAAGCGGGGTCTCCTCCGAGGGAATCAGTTTGAGTTCCTCAAGGACTGCCTGTGTCGCTTGTGCCAGGTTCATGGTGTAGCTAGTGTAAGGTCGCAGTTAGCCACATGAAAAATAGGGAGCCACTGATATACTGGGTAGGAATAAACTCACAAATGCAGGTGCTTGATGCCAGCCGCGAGGAGACGTCGGCACATGTCCGCAATCAGCCGCTTTCCGATCTCCTTGACAGCAGCATCGTCATTCTTCACCGGTTCCAGAGCCTCGAGCCAGTCTGGTGGGATCCGCGCCTTTGTCCAGTTTGCTCGTCTGATGAATGCGGCATATGTGGAGATAGGCATGATACCGGGAATAATAGGCACTGTGATGCCCTTGGCACGGCATTTCTTGACCCATTCAATGAAATTGTCTGTATCGTAGAACATCTGCGTGATGACGAAGGAGCTTCCAGCGTCGACCTTCTCTTTCAAGTGATCGATCAGCTGATCCACGTCCGGGTTGTCGTCTGCGCCTTCAGGGTAACCGCCCACACCGATGTCGAAATGATTGCCGTACTTCTCCCGAATATACTTGACCAGATCCTTTGCGTAACGGAGTCCTCCTTCAGTGGCTTCCCATGCCTCTTTGTCACGGGGTGGATCACCGCGAAGAGCCAAGATGTTGGTGCAGCCTGCCTTGTAAGCAGCACTGAGTGCAACGTTCACTTTTTCTAAGGGCATGTCTGTGCAGGTCAGATGCATGCAAGTCTCCAAGCCATACACCGATTGAGCGACGTTCACCATCTCGCAGGTCAAATCCGACAACCGACCACCAGCACCCCAGGTGATGTCGATGAAGGAGGGTCCTAGAGAGTGCATCCGATCCATTCTGTCGTAGAGATTCTGAACACCCTGGGCCGTTTTCGGAGGAAAGAATTCGAAAGAGATACCGACCCTCCCGGCGGTCTCATTGTCCGCGAGCTTGTCTTTGACGTGCATCTTGATATATTACAGTCTGTCCGTGAGCAACAATTAGCTTCATGTAGGGAAAGGTCAAAGACCGCCTAAGTTTAGCCGGTGTGTCGGCGATCGAGTGCGAAAAAGAGAGTGAAGCACTGTGTGGTAGAATATGCAAGAAAGCAGAAGTGTACCGTACCTGCAACAAAAGGTCGACTTATCTGAGCTCGCCTGCCGTTAGATGTCCTTCAGGAGCTGTGGATAATCGCCCCGTTTCGCCCACCGATCTCGCCAGCGACTGCGATGAGTGTTCAAAACCGCAAGTCAAAGTAAACAATGCAAAACAAGAGGTTGATAGAAACCGAAACGACAAAAATAATGGATTAGCAGAAAAACGACTGCAAGGAAAATGCAGCAGAGCAATGGGGAAAAGAACCAGAGAAGCGGGCTGCTTGAGAGCACCGGTGTGAGTTGGTGTCCCTTTCCGCTGGAGAGGCCGGATTTCGGAGGACGTGGCCGGCACGTGGTTTCCACTTAAATACTCAGCGAGCAACTCGAAAAGGGTCGAAATTTTTAGATTTAAGTCTATCACCGAATCTGCATAAAGCAAGCAACAATACTTTCCTACGCTCCGAAATTCCAGCGTACTAAGTGTAGCATGGGGGGTTTGTAGTCTGTACTAATCCACCGGAGGACAAATTACGGGGAGCGCCGATTGACACCTCAGGCTACTATCACCCCGCTGTTTTGCCCCTCCTCCTTCGGCGGATAAGGAAAAAAGTAGATGGAAAAAAAAAGAAGAAACGGTTTCCGTCGAACTATATACTCTGGTCTCTGCGTTCGGTGATATAAGATATTCGGTCCATTTTTCATAGTTATCCCTCATAAGCGCTCAAATCCAATCGCTAGAGTCAATTAATCCTACCTATCAATTCACAATGTCTGCTTCCGTTCCTCCTCCGGCCGCCGATCAGGATTACAAGGCGTCATTGCTCCCACTACTGATCTCCAACAACGTCCTTTCTTTCGGCACATATACCCTCAAATCCGGTCGTGAATCTCCCTACTTCTTCACTTCGTCTCTGCTTCACACTGCACCACTCCTCCGGGCCACATCTGCCGCCTACGCCAGCGTTCTATCCGCCGAGCCTTTTGTAAAGACGGCCGCCGATGGCACCCTCAGCCCCAACTTTGATATCATTTTTGGGTACGTTCTTCCCTTGAAGCATTTACATCCCTTGAGTTGGAGCAGTACTAACCGGTCTGATAATAGTCCTGCTTACAAGGGCATCCCCATCGCCGCGGCCGTGACCAACGAACTGGCCGTGCGTGACTCTATCGCCGGAACCCACACCTGGGACAATGTCAGCTATTCATTCAACCGCAAGGAGGCCAAGGATCATGGCGAGGGTGGCAACATCGTCGGTGCCCCATTGAAGGGCAAGCGGGTTGTCATCGTCGACGACGTGATCACGGCGGGAACGGCCCTGCGCGAGGCTGTAGGCATCATCCAGAAGGAAGGCGGTATTGTCGCTGGTGTTGTTGTCCTGCTCGACCGTGAGGAGAGGGTGAGCGATGCAGAGCCTAAGAGTGCTGTCGGTGTTGCGCAGAGGGATCTTGGAGAGAGCATCCCCATCCGGGCTGTCATTGGTCTCCATGATTTGATTGAGAAGCTGGGTGATAAGATTGGCGAGAGCGAGATCCAGCGGTTGAAGGACTACAGGGCTCGCTATGGTGCTGAATAAATCAATTGAGGAATGTAATATATTGAACGATACCAATGAGTGTTGATGATATTCGTGGGTTGATGGGCTTGAGTAATAGAAGTTTACAATCTTTGCCTCACTAACGGTAAAGTCATCTATGCAACTGTTCAAATCACTTTTTGTTGGCTTCCAGGGCCTCTGGAGATCCGGAGTGAAACTGCGCTCTTCGAGTGTTTCTCAAGTATATATCTCGGTTGTCCACCCGAAATAGGTAAGATCTGAGTTCTGTATACGATTATGCACACCTTGCAAGACATACTACATCCCTTTGTTTTCAAGCCAGATTACCAGCCAGCGTTTGAATAACGATATTCTCGACCTCAAACCACTGCTAATTCCCCTGGATACTACTCTTGACATCATACACCATTTGCTCTCGAAACAACATCACCTGGAATGTACGGACTACGTGACACCACAACGAAGGGATAATGTGGGATAAAAACAGTCTGAAACATGCCTTTGCTCATGCTAATCAAATATGTCTTACTGACCATGGGGATGTACTCACGTTCCAGCTAGAAAATCCAATCCTTGGGAGAATATCTTCGACGGGAAACAGATCAAGAATTCGAGATACATGCCATGCTGGCTTGGAGTGATACAGTTTCCCTAGTTGATAATTATTTAGCTCATTCGGTCTATGCAATTCCAAAGAGCATGACAGTGCATGTCAATCTCAATGTATAATGTACTGATACCAGCGGTTCAAGCGCCTCTTTCAAGGAGTGAAAGGGCTACCGTGGAGTTTGAGCACCGAAAGTGTCGAGCTGATCCTCTACCTTACGCTCATGTGGAGACATCTGCCTTCGCTTCAGTCGGGGAATCTGCTTTCTGAATTCCTCCCGCTTGAACTGTAGATAATCGCATCGTCGCGTTAGGAGGCAACGCGGCGGTCCCAAGACTCGATTATAATTGCCTTACTAGGACGAGTCTGGACGACAACAAGATCTCGAACCAAAAGCCGGTGAGGAGGAGATCTTGATCATAAATCCCTAAGATTTTGTCTTGCAGGAGATAACGCAAACAAGATCGGCGATCCCGTCCGAATCTCGAGTCGGTGGTCTGGAGTCGGTGAAGATTGAAATAACGAAGAAAATGAGGTCCTTCCGGTAGTTTCCAAGCGGTCGGCTCATTGACTCGAAAGGGTAAGCTAGATATGATATGTGTGCGAAGACGCTGCCTAGAAGGAGGTAACCGTAATGCCGCTGCATATGATGTATCGGTGTTGCCATGTGCCGAGAGATCCTACAGCGCGCACAGTTTTTGTTGTGGTGGCTTGAAATATCATGTTGGGTAACAATTGTTGGCGTGGACGTGGGGCCTGTATGCGGGTTTTCAATAAAACATCGGGCCTGCGTCTTGTTGTAGATTCTGGATGCTGTTCGATACGCGCTACCTTTCGCTTCTGCCGGTGGTCAAGTATAGATGCATGACGGCTTCGGCGACTTCGTAATCGAGTGGCATTTGTCGCAGTCGAAATCGAAGGTGCAATCTTCACTTGGCATATAGCGAAGAATACCTTAGCGACATTTCATAGATTTATACCATTGTCGAGAGTCGGAAACATAGGGAGCAACAATCCGTTCGTGGCGGATGCGAAGATGTATCTTGCCCGAGAAGCAAGAGCGAAGAAGGATAATCAAGATCTGCTACCAACTGACTGTTACCCATATTAGCAGATGTCATCGTACACCGTTAAAGTCATGACTCATGCCACATGCAGAAATGGCGGCTGGGATCGTATATGCAATGATCTGTGCTACGCTGCAAAGCATATGACAATGGAATGATCCAGCATCGATCATGTTCATGCCGCTGATATGACCCTTGTAGCGATCACCCGAGGGCCGAGAGCCTGCCTACTTACCGAGTAACTACTTACGTAGATAGATAAATAGGTAGAGAGATCTAACGGAGCGGTCTGGCTATCTACCAGAGGGAGAACTACCCAAAGCACACCATATTTATGATCAGCCAATCAGGATAACGGACTGGCATTTAAGGTTGATCTGGTCTGGCATCAAAGCTTGGATCATCCGCCGTCCAGGTCTTGGCGCCCCACTGTGGTTATAGTATATAGTGAGGTGCATAATCTGTAACACTACCAAAAGCAGGTTATTGAGCTCACCGTGAGAGTCGTAGCGTTGATATGCGCACAGTTTTCGAGTCAGTGGTCATGGTTTTCAGTGTTAACCATGCATTATACATGCGAAATCTGATTGGCGACTTCGGACCCAAAACGCCACAATACAGGTAACCGCACAGAACTACTGATTCTAGAAGCAAGGGCGAAGATCCACTGACAGGACACAAAGTTTCTCATACTTACCTAGGGATACTGAACTCAATTTATGATATGAGCATATCGATCTCTCCAACTGAATTTAGATTACTATCGGAGCTAGGCTTTGGCATCGGCAATGGCTTTCTGGTCTCTTTGACTACCCAGCAACATGCGCTGATTTCAGTCTCCGACTGCAAGCGACGCAGGAGTAAGGTATGTCTGCTCGAACAACCGCGACAACATCTGTAGTACTTCTCATCCCTTTGTCCTGTGTCCTGTTGTTTTCACGCTGGACTTTGTAGAAACCAGGGCTATACGAATAGTATTTGGATCTTCAACCATCTCCTTGAATATCTAACCAAGTATATCTCCTTACCGTACTGATCACGACACCGACTATCCCTTTCTCCCTTTAACATGGCCACGATGACTCGGGGAAGTCGAACTGAGACAAACATGACCTGGCCTGAGACATGTTCAAACGGCTTGACAAGTATTGGTTCGTGGTGCAAATCGTAATATCCTGGAATCGCCAGTTCTATCATCCCTTTGGCACTATTCAAGCAAGGAAAACCATTATAGCGGGTTGGCAGTGCCCGGAGTGCCTGTGTATCATCTATACGTCGGCCTGTAATTTACAATGGCCCCGATGAGTGAACGTTCTGGGATCTCTTGTCACTATCAATATCGCGTGCTGGTACATGAAGCTGAAGTATCCCATCTCTGCCATGACATAGAAGGAAGAGTGGGAAAACCTTAAGAGGCAAATTTGCGAGAGATAGGCTATTACCCATGATATCGCAAGATACAGATTGTCTAACGCTTGATCATGAAAGTAGAGAGACAGCTATTACTACGCCCATTTCTATAACCGATATTGATAAAGATACGCACGCATTGAGCGTTTCGGCCGCCGTGTCACTGGCGCTACGGTGAAATCTTGATATTAGAGAGGGAAACGCTATCTAGTAATTAAGGTGTTATCCGATTTCGATGCGTCGCGGCCAGTCAAAGCTTCCGCGCATCGATCTATATCGGGTACCTAGTACCAGCTCAGAGTTTTTATCCACACTTTGCATGCATAAGCGAGAGGCTGATGGCCTGTCTCTGATATGTTGGATTGAACCAAGCACGCCATCAGCAGGAGATAGCTTACTATTCAGATAAAGGCAGGGCCCGTGTCACCATAATCCATAACCAGAATCTTGGATGCGGCAAGATTGGCTTCCATAGGCGCTATTGGCTCCGATGGTCCTCAGTGGTCTCATATCGGATTATATCCACATAGCTGCCCGAATCTCAGCTCTTTAGCGGCTATGCGGATGTTGAACTGCGCATGATTTTTTTTTTTTTTTTTTTTTTTTTTTTTTTTGAATACGACTTCTGCATTACGAGTGCATGTGCTTTCGACCATGCAGCGACGATGAGCAGCCAATACCTAGTGTATGGAAGGACACTAGTCTCCTCATCGTACTCAGATGTAAGCATAGTTAGACATTACTACTAACTGCGTACTGTCGGTTTGACGATAGATCAGACAGAAGTGGCTCACCACTATCAGCCACCATGCTCATACCTGCAGTATGATATTCTCTCAGAAGACACTGTGTACTCTGTAGCATGCAATAATCTGACGCAGTATGCCAATGTCATTAAGCAAGTAATCAATATACAGTGCAAAGGAGACAGAGGTAAACGAAAACAAAAACAAGAAATCCCGGTATCTACGAGAGGATCAGCGTAAGGTACCCACTGGCCCCACTGGGGTGAACACAGTACCCACAGCCGCCTAGGAACCTAAGGTATCTAATGTACCTAGGTGCATGCTCCAAGCAAAACAGTCATCATACTGACTTTCCTCCTTCCTTCATCTTCTTCATAGTCACCGTCAACTTTCCGGTCTCGCTTCCCTATGCTCAACTCTGACACAGTCTCCACAGCTCAATTTTACTCCGCTGCAATGGCCTTGGCTTCACAGGGGGCAGATGATCTGCCGAAAATTATCATATCATGCAGGAAGTCGATGGCTGGTTCTGGCAATCGAGCAGGAGGTCCCGAATCTCAACAGCACGACTCAGAGACAGGACCGTCTCTCACCTGCTTCTTTCTTCCCGTCTCTCACTCCCTCGGCTATCTTTTCTTCCGTTTGTCGTCCTATCTGCATGCTAGCTGCATCTACCATCCGTCTAACGAGTATCATGCAGCAGCATCAGTAGGTAGGATAAGCGAAGGATAGTTTTCGTCCTGCTTTGCTTGCTCGCCCCCACGATCCTTCCTGGCGAACTCGTTGTCTGGACATCATTGAGACCCATACTCGACTTGCCTGTTGGGCCTTCTCCTCCAGTTAGACCCCCCTTGTGCATGTTTATCGGACAAATTTCTTTTGTCTCGATCCTCTTTCTCATTGTCCCCTCGACTATCGTTAGCTACTACTGCTGGCGCCACTCGTCCTCTCGACCCTTTCCATTCTTCCCGAGCCTAATCTCTCAACTGCAATTGGCTGGAGTTAACATTTCATAACTTTTCTAGAGGATAAAAAGGGGGAACCAGCAAAGAGTTGATTGAGAGAGCGAGAGTGGTCTTAAGCTATCTCTTAGATCCATTCTCTTTCCCTGCTCTTGTCTGGAATACTCCTCCGAAAGACATTCTTCGACCGTTGAACCACATGCTGCTCTCATAATACGGTAGCACCCATTTTATTGTACGGTCGTCGGTCGACTTGAACATGGATTGGAGGCTTGTGGGTTCGTTGCTTGCGTTCTTCGCGGCAACCTCGATAGCATGGCCTTACGACGAGGCCCTCGTTGACTACAA